AGAGTTTATATAATCATTACAATTATCATCAATATCTAAACATTAAATTAATTTATTCTATAATTCTTCTTTATAATTATATTTCTTCATTAAATCTGAAATGCATCTTATGATATCATAATTATTTGAATTTTATGATTTACATAAATTAATTATTGGTATCATTATTTCATTATATATTTAATTCCTTTTATCATTATTAGTCCATTTTAAATGAATTCTATTAAAACAACGATTGATGATAATTTATATAATTTCTTTCATTTTACTAGATGCTTTTTGTAAAAATTTAGATTTCTCATAAATTGGACATTAATATCCTGTAAAATGGATTGAATATATTAATATTTGATAAATAAGAGCAGGATACTAACTATTTTCTGTTAAATGAAGCCAAATTCTATTTAAATCAAGATAATTATGTTCAATTCCTTAAGATTCAATTAGTTATACTTAATTTAATAATTGAACAAATAAATAAAGCAATTATCCTAAATGAATACGAATAAAATCGGATTCCTATATAAATATAAATGAAAATGTATTACAATCCAAAATATTAAATCTGATAATCTAATACATTTTCTACGATTAATTTTATAACTTATTGATTTATTTTCTAAATCTAATTATACTTCTCCTATTCTATCAAACTCTAATGCTTTTTTTATTTTATCCTCATTTTCATAAGAATATACTTCCTCACTTACATAAAACAAATTTAACATCTTATAATTATTATATTTCTATTATGAATAATTTCTTAGATAATTAAGTAATCAATTTATATTGATTTATATTTTTCTTTCATTAATATAAAATTATATTAATATACACTATCAAATGTACTACAACGATTAGTAGAAGTATGATTAGAGGAGAGCTAATTTAGACTTGAATGAAAGTGCTTTAAGAACAGAAATAACTCCTGAAGGTGTGTTTCAACAATTTTACTCTTCAGAATTGGATCAAATCATTTAGTACAAATTAATAATAAAGCAGGAAGGAGTTCTAGAATCCAAAATATCTATAAGAGATTTCATTAGATGGAACAAAGTTCAAGTATTAGAATGAACAATTTGATTATTCATTTCCACTTTAATCGTAAACATTGTACTATAAACCAAAACTGAAAGATATATTTGAATTTGAAGTATTCCCTCATACAAGACCTAATCCAAAGTGTTTGGCAGTATAAAAAAATAAGATTGCAATAGCTTATGCAGAATCTTTGTAAATATGGAATAAGAAAAAAGAGAAAGAGTATATACTACAATTAGGTGAGATATCATGTATGGATTTTAGTAAGGATGGAAATTTATTAATTTGTGGTTAAAATAAAACTATTTTATTGATAGATAGTAATAAAGGTATTTTGGTATAAACATTTCCAAATATTCATATACAAAGAATAATAGTAATAAAATGTATTTGGAAAAATAAAGAGGAGTAGTTTGTAACAACTTCAATAGACGCATCAGGATAATCTTTATTGATTAATTATACAAAGAGCATATTCAGTTATTCAATAGATGAATGGGAATTGCTTGATACAATGTAATTTCCAACAGGATCAATGAAATATATTTAAATGACAGAGAATCGTATATTAATAGGAATCAATAGTATTTAATTTTTTTGGGTTGTTTATGTTGAAATCACAAATACTAAAGAGATAATGTTTAAATTGGTTTATGAATTTAAGAATCCAAGAAAAGTGAGAGATTCATCAATATTTAAAACATCTTGTGCTATAGGGAGAGGTCTTGTGAGAATAAAAGATTAATTGTAGAGAAGATATGTAATTGCATTTGTATGGGATAATAAATTGCATCATTTAGTTTTGGAGAATGACAGATAAATTGAATTGGGTTCATCAATATTTCATAGATCTTAATATATAAATACAGGGAGTTTAGTGTATGAATGTGAATTTTTGAAGGATTCTCTTTATTTATTGTACTCTGAAAAAGGAATAATAATTATGAATACTCTTCATATTGATATGAATTTATCAGAATAATAGTTAAGTTCAATTAAACATTAATATTTTGATAATCCAGGATATAGGCCTACAGGATATTAATTTAGAAGGTGTAAAACATTAATGAAAAAAGTTACTCAATAATATGTCAAACTAAAATTGTACAATGATCCCATTTGTAATTATAGTCAACAATTTTCTCATTATAATGCTCTTTTTAATGATAGATGCATTTAAAGTAGTTTGGTTGGGCAAGCAAAGATAGTAAAATATTTAATTCAAGAGGAAGAGTGGCTTTATTGTATGAATTATGTATTGAGTTTATATTTGGGTTTTAATGAATTTTACAGTGAGTTTATAGAATTGAATAAGGATGAAAGATATTCATTAATAAAACATAGTGTTGAAGAACTATCATTGAAATATATAAAGGTTTGTATGTAACTGATTCAGACTAATATTTCAGCTATGTAGGATGCTAGTAAGTATAAATTGTAAGAATTGAAGATGACTAATCAGATTATGTTATCAATATTGATAGAATTTTTGTTGAAGTGTGATTCATATGATTTGTTATTTGAAAGGATTATGAATGATGTCAATCAAAGTCTAAAAGATAATCATTAGTTTTTTTTATATTGTTTATAACCATTTTATTAATAAAAGTATGTAAGAAGGATTCCTATGAGTATGTTGAATAAAATTATTGAAATATACATTAATGAAAAAAGATTAGATTTAATTTAGATGTTAATTTAATCTTTGGATCATAAGATAATAAAATCTGATCAATTAATTAAGATTTGTTTGAAGTATGGATTAATGAAGAGTCTAGCAATAATTTGTTTTCAAGGGGATATGGAATAATACTTGACTCCAATCTTAAAAATTTGGTCAGTTATTTTAACAATGATAGAGAAATCTCAATTTGAGACTTGTATTTATTATGCATGTAGAGCATTGGCTATCATAAAAATGATCTTTATTAATAATGATGCTTTGGGGGATATAATGGATGAGAAAAAATAAATAGAGATCAAAAAATAATTGGTCACTTGGTTATTAAATGATTAGACTATAGAAAAATTAATGACTCTGTAAACAATATCTACATTTGAAGTTTTGTTAAAGGTTTTGGAATACTAAAAGCAATATGATAATAGTAATTTTAGTAGAACTATGTTAATCATTAGTAAAGTGATAAGTGTGATATAAGCAGGAGAAAATGAGTTTTAAAAATCATTTTAATAAATTTACAAACAGGAGAGTTTTTTGGATGATTTGCAAATTTAATTTATATTATTTTAAATAAGATACTTTATTAGTTTTGGAGGACATGGTTCCAGAATAGTTGAATTTTTAAGTTATTTGTTAAAGAATCCACAAGTATTTTGTTGGATTTATTTTACTGAATTAATTGATAGTATTAAAGATGATTAAAAAATGAAAGATTTAGTGTAATAATGGTATTATAAAAAAGATATAATAGAATTTTTGAAATGTTAATATTTTATAAATATAGCAATAAAATTGGAATAGGAAATATCAAGTGCAGTTTTAGGATTGAGTTATGAAGCAGATTTCACAACATTTTCAATGATTAGTGTATATTTTGCTGAGAGAAAGAAAGAGTATACTAGAGCATTTAATTTCTTTTTGACTTCACAAAATAGATTTGTAAGAAGTCTTGTATTTGATTGGGTTGAGAAGAGAATGAAGGAATTGCAGGAATCAGATCAAGATAATTTTAATCAAATGAAATCAGCTTTAATATTGAAGATTAGTGATTTAATACAAATAGATTGGAATAAAACTAGAATTATATTTTCAAATTATAATAGTGAATCAGAGAAGGTAGTAATTGAGAAATTATCTTAATTTCCAGAATTACAATTACAATATATTGAAAATGTGATTAAAAGAGAGAGAGAATTAGGTAATAAATTAGATTCCAACTTTCTAATAATCAATATATAATTATTATGCTAATTAAATCCTGACAAAATAATTGAAGAAGTTTCATAACATGATTATCCCTTAGAGGAGATATTAGAGCCTTGCAAATAATTTAAAATATTACCAGCTTAAGCTTATATTTTAGAGAGAATGGGAAGGATAGTAGAATCAGTTTCAATTTCATGTTAAATACTTAGATAGATTATATAAAAGCATAAAACTGAATTAGATTAAAATTATAAGTTATCAATGAGATTAGGTGGAGGATCAGATGAACATCATAAACTTGCTAATTTAAAAGTTTTATTTCCTATGGGGAAGAAGAAATAGAAGGGTGGTTAAGCTTAGCAAGATATTAATATTATGAAACCATTTGAAGATGCTAAGTTGGCTGCTACTAATGAGATAGTTGCTTAGATTTAGAAAATTGTAAAGGTTTGTAAGAATGATAAATTTGAAAAGAATGAAGAGAAATGGTATACTTTATTAGATCAATTAATTGATATAAGAGATAATTTAATATTTGATAGTCCATCTTAGAATTTTATGAAGCATAGTATATTCACAACTCAAATATGTCATATATTTGCAACAATTGCAGAGGTTTCTAATTTAGGATCTCTAATTTATTAATTATCAAATAGATATAATAATTTAGATTTAGGATAATTAAAGAAGGCATTTTAGGAAATAATTCAAAATTACTTATATACTTAGCATTTGTAATCAAATGTTTAATTTTTATTAATGAATGATATTTATGAGAAATTAAGTGTTTATATACAAAGATCTAAGATTGGTATAACAAGTAATAGAGTTTGTTATAAAAATAAAACAGAGTAGAGTTTAGATGGAGATTGCAAAATTAGTAATGATGATTTTGTAGTTTTTGAATGTAAACATAATTATCATAAGAAATGTGTAATGATGTATTAAGGAGTGGCATTTTGCAATTTATGTTTCAAAATAGATCAAACATACTCGTATAAATTAATGAATTCTAAGATTTTAGAAGGTGCCACAAATTTAGAATAGGATGATAATGAATTATTGAAAGAAGAGATTGAGAATGTGAACAAATTCAATAATTAGTCAAGTTAGTAAAATAGTGATGATGTAAAATTCATACCAAAAGTATCAGAAGAAACAATTGAAAAGAGAGTATGGTATTATTATTATTATAGAAAAAAAGAGTGAATAAACTTTATTATTTTGACAGAAAGAGAAATGACAATTATAATATAATGGAGGAAACCAATAAAGATATTGATTATTTTAATAATCAGAATGAAATGAAAAGGAAGAAATAAGAGATGGAAGAGAAATAATAGAAACTAAATAAAAAAAGAAAATGAATTTATATAATTTCAATAAATGCATACTTTAAATATTAAATGAAAATATTGTCCAAAGGTTGTGAATTAGTGGCTGTACAAAATGAGAAGATACACTCTATTAAAAATGAACATTATCTACAAAATGAAGATGTTGAATTGTATATATTTTAAGATGAAAGTGTTAAATCCATAGAATACATACATTACAAAGATATACTTAAAAAAGGTAAACCTAATTACATTCTAGGAATTAAAAAAATTAGTGGATCAGGAGGTTTAGAGATAGTTATTACAAATTGTACCAATCCCAACTAATTAATTACTGAATAAAATGACTAAGAATTCAATTGTCAAGCAGTTAGAAAATGGTTAAACTTTAAGTCATAGAATTAGTTACATTAATTCAATTAACTTTACAGAACACTTAAAGATGTATAATATTCTTATCATTACATAGCTATAAAATGCATAAACAACAGTTACTCCAGTCTAATAGGATGATACACTAGATGTATTCCGTAGTTGTGTAGATCTTTCTGTCCTTACTAATAGAAATGACAGTCTCAAAGAATTAGAATAACAATATGTCTAAGGTCAAATGAAATGGGCTTAAATTGATATGGAAAATGCTCAATTGGCCACTAAAATTCAATTATTGCAATTCGAATTATAATAAAGAAAGCAAGAAATCAATAAACTTAAATTCTAATATGAAAATAATGCTTATTAATTATTGTAATCCAAATAATAGTTAGGAGATGTAATCAATTAGGCTATAGAAATTAAAGATTCCTAAATTTTAGCAAAACTTGGATTATGAATAGATATATTTATATAATTTACAATTTTTCATTTTCATCAAACAATTAAAACTCTATTAGTTGCTTATAATAGATACATTCTACTCTAAAAATTAGATATCATAATCATCTTCCAAAATGTAAATTGTTTAAATAAATTTTTCAGATTTTTTCTTTAAGTATTATATATTCAACTATCTTATCATAAGTTATCTCTCATCATAGTAAATGAATTAACTCAATTTCATATAAAAATAACTCAAGAAATCTAAGTTTGATGTTCTTCACAGAATCTAATAATATTTGTTTTATATCTCTAAATCACTCCAAAATTTATTTCAACTTAATAAATTTTAAAATGATTATATTGATTATAATTAATCTTTGACCTTATTTTATTACTATTTTAAAACTATCTATTATAATGAAACATTATTTCATTCTAATAGAAAAATTATTATATAGAGTACTAATTATTATTTTATTTAATTTGATTACTCTTCATCTTTAAGTAGTTTTTCTAGTGAGGTTCAAAATTAAATTATGTGAAAAATATAATAAAATAATTAATAATATTACTAATTAATTACTAACAATTATTATTTAATCCTTTATGTAAAAGCAATTATGCTTTATGTTTATACTCCTTTATAATCAATATAAATCTATATCTATGATTTTACAATTTAATTTTGAATGAATAACTTTGCTTATATTACTATAATATCTGATGATGTGAAGCCTCTTGTGATAAATGTTGAATTAATCCAAAATATTTTAAATCTAATAAGAGTGCTTAGTAACTAATTCATTTAAGCAATTAGATTAATTTGAGTTAAAATATCCGCTATAATTATAAAAATGAGAATTTTAATGATTAAATGAGATAATTTATTATTTATTTAATTATATCCACTACTTAAGATGATAAGATATATTTATTAATTATAAGTACAGAATATTTTAAATAATTTTAAAAAATCTCAAAATGGGATGTCAAAGCACAAAATTAAAAAAGCATCCACCCTTTATTTATAACACACCTGAACTTATGAATGAATTCACTATCAGTTGGAGTAAAAAATTCACTAAATCTAAAACTAATTTTGATGCCAAATAGGAGAAGCAGATTTATTGTCTGGACAAAAATCCAATACTTTTACGAAGATAAAAACGATAGGCTTAATCTGTAGTATGATTATTTTATTATTATATTCTTTCTTTTATAAACCCCTTGAAATTTACTGTTTCATTTTTGTCTCCTTAAAACTTTAAAACTAATACTCCCAGAATACTTACAATAATATCATGTTATTAAATTGATATTATAAATCTAGTATTGACCCTATTGATTTTAGTTTATAAAATCTTATATACTTTGATTACAATTCTTTGTTGTTAGAGACATTTTGAAAATTGGGCAATTCTATTCCATATTGGTATTTTAATTGAATATACATAATAACTCTTCATCATTAGAATAAATGTCTCAGAGATATAGAACACAAAGATTATTGATCAAAAAAGGTTTTGAGAATTATTTTCATTATTACTATAATTATAGATATTAAAATTAATCAATAAATGTTTGATAGTTAAAATAGCACTTCTGCAAAATTAACAGAACAAATCAAATCTTAATAAAGCTATAAAATAAGAGAATTTGAATGGTTTGAAGTAGAAACAAAAATTAGATTATTTGTTTAAAAATTAATGGAACCAACATTAAAATAAATGCATGAAGATCGAATGATCGTAGATGAATTATAACAAAATTTTAAAACTAATAATAAAGAAGTTTCTTATTTAAGAGATATTGTCTTAAATTAAGGAGCAGGAATACCCATCTTTGAAGAATTCAAATAGAGATTTTTAGATTTAGAAATGAAACTTGATCAATAAAAGCGAGAATCGATTGATTAATTTGGAAATTTCAGACAAAGTCTTGATAGCACTGATAATGAGATTTCAAAATTTTTATAATCTGTTAGAACTCTTGAGTATTTTAAAATAAAACTTGAATAAGATCTTCAAGATATTTAAATAAAAAATGATAACTTTAAATCAAGTGTTGAATCAATCATTAAGTAATTGTCATCAGATCTTACAGAAAGTACTAAAAATTGGAAATTAACTGCAATTGAAATTGAACAATAATTTGGTAAAGTGGATAATAGACATTCTGATCTAATCAATATAGTAAAATAAGAATAAGTTAAATTAAAATAGATATCAGATTCTATATTAGAAATAAATAAAAAATAAAACTAAAATATAAATACTTTTGAAGTAATTGATACTAGATTAATAAAAGCAGATGTTTAGATTACAACTTTGAAAAAACAAATTTTAGAAGTAGATTAATTAATCAATAGAAATAAATAAGTATAAATGTTTCTTATATATTATTTACCTATGTATATGTAAGCATAGATTAGTGATTCATTATTTACATGTTTGCCTTTGAAATTTTTCTATAAATTTACTTAATTTGAAAAATAGAAATTTGATTATTTAGATAAATAATTATTAGAATATAATGGTGATCCAAATATATAAATACTTATAGATGAGTACAGTAAAACATTAGCAGAAGTCATGAAAAGGAATTCAAGAATTAGTCAAATGATATTTATGAATTAAAAAAAAGAATAAAAAGACTCCCATTCTTCAGATTCTGATATGGATAGTGATAATAGAAGTTAAAGAACAAATGTTCGAAATAGTGTATAAATTAGATAAGATTCTACAAATAATCATAGAAAAGAGAGTATATATTCAAAAGATATGATATAATAATCAGCTATTATGCAATAATAGAAAAAAAACTCTGGTTAATCCAATAATTCTAATCTAATTTTTTATGAAGATTAAATTAAATAAATTAAAGATTAATTTTAATAGGAAATTGATGAATTAAAATAATTCAATATTACTTTAAAAAAATAAATTGTCTAAAATTAAAAGGAAACAAATGATTAAATATCTATTAATATCTCATCATGTTAAAGTAATAATTAAAAATTATTAAATACAACAACTAATTAAATTAAAAATTTAGAAGAGAATATTAAAAAAGCATTAAGCTAAGAAAACTCAAATTCTAATGACCTTATTTTTGATTAAGTCAAATAATTTAAAAAGTCATTATAAACAATACTCCATTTCTTAGTTCTTATTACACATTTATTAATTCAAGATGAAATTGACAGATAAGGAATTTAACTTATGGGGGCAAAGGATACTTAAATTGATGGAGGACTAGTGTATACTGGTTAAAGTAAGAAAGGACCATCAATATAATTAAATGGTGAATGCCTTTCTTGTTCAGGTCAATCAATTTAATTATTACAATGTTTTAAATTAGCATGTTTAGCATATCATCCATCTGATATTTTAGTTGATGGAAAATTATTTAAAAGAGATCAATTATTAGAAATGTGTACTACTTTATTAAGATAAGCTAAATAAGAATTTTTAGATTAAGACCAAAATATTTCATAACCTAATACATAACCTATAGCTTCTAGATAGAGAAGCTCCTCAATTCCTATTTCACCAGGCCGACTTAATTCTAATTTCAAATTTAATAAAACAAGAAAATTAGCACCAATGACAAACATATAAAATTTGTGAACTTTACATTTATTTTTAACTTTTCTTTTTAATTTAATTAATTAATAATCTATTTAATTAAATATAAAAACATATATTAGCTACAATATTTTAAAGATAATATCTAATTGAAAATATTCATTTTTATAAGGATTAATTATTTATGAAGCTATTATTTCACTGTTAATTAAATTTTATAATTATTGATTCCTTATGTATAAATCCTTAAATTTTATGTCGAATTATTATAAAATATTTATTGTAGTATTACTTATAATTGGTACTAATGGATTATCATAAAATATTTAATTATAAATATATGCATTTGTTTAAAACTTCAATTCAAATTTGATGACAAGTTTATTTTCTCATCAATTTCAATATTTATTCTCTAATATTCATCAATTATTATAGGAAATTATTAATATCAACAAAATTATATTATATTTGCATCTTTAGTTTAATTTTTTACTTCTAGAGTTTCAAGATTTTGAAATCCAAGCTTTTATATCCCATAAATATATAAAAGGATAAATATAACTTAGGAGTAGTATTAGAAAATTACAAATACAAATATTATGTGATAAAATATTCAAATCAATTCAGTAACCAATATTAGAACTTTTTTTATAAAAAGTAAATCTACTTGTTCTTCAACAATTTAAACCATATATTTTGATGCGGCTGAAAATTGATAATGATGAATTTCTTGATTATTTTGATGTAACCAAAATGTATTATTAAAATATTTAAGAGATGAACATTGTAATACTTAATTAATGATCTCTACTTCTAGTTATTTTATTTCATCATCTGTGATTTCAAATTTATATTCCTTTTCTTTTTCTTTTAGAGAATTTTAAATCATTATTTAAACTTGTTCTTTAATTAATTAATTGATTTTAGATTCATTTTCTTTTATTCTATTATATTCTTGTTAAGCTTTCATTTAATAATCTAATTTAAGTTTTGAGTAAGATTCTAAATGTTTACTTATAATAGGAATATATTAATATAAAAAAGATTCAATTACAATATATCCATATTAATTGGCAAATTCAATAATGGCTGTCAAATCCTAATTAACTTTCGGAATTACTTTTTGTCTATCAGAGTTTATATAATCATTACAATTATCATCAATATCTAAACATTAAATTAATTTATTCTATAATTCTTCTTTATAATTATATTTCTTCATTAAATCTGAAATGCATCTTATGATATCATAATTATTTGAATTTTATGATTTACATAAATTAATTATTGGTATCATTATTTCATTATATATTTAATTCCTTTTATCATTATTAGTCCATTTTAAATGAATTCTATTAAAACAACGATTGATGATAATTTATATAATTTCTTTCATTTTACTAGATGCTTTTTGTAAAAATTTAGATTTCTCATAAATTGGACATTAATATCCTGTAAAATGGATTGAATATATTAATATTTGATAAATAAGAGCAGGATACTAACTATTTTCTGTTAAATGAAGCCAAATTCTATTTAAATCAAGATAATTATGTTCAATTCCTTAAGATTCAATTAGTTATACTTAATTTAATAATTGAACAAATAAATAAAGCAATTATCCTAAATGAATACGAATAAAATCGGATTCCTATATAAATATAAATGAAAATGTATTACAATCCAAAATATTAAATCTGATAATCTAATACATTTTCTACGATTAATTTTATAACTTATTGATTTATTTTCTAAATCTAATTATACTTCTCCTATTCTATCAAACTCTAATGCTTTTTTTATTATATCCTCATTTTCATAAGAATATACTTCCTCACTTACATAAAACAAATTTAACATCTTATAATTATTATATTTCTATTAACCACTTAAAATATATATCCTTTTTTAATTAATTACAGAATTAAAATTATCAATAAGTGTTTAACTAAATCAATAGATTACAAGACAGAAGATGTCATTTCATTATTAGAGAACATTTTTTTTAATTGAATTTTAAAAGATAGCCAGATGTAATAATTATTTATCAGAAATTTATATGAATAATAATTCAATTGATTTACACTTTTCAAATGATATATATTGTTATCTCATTATAAATTTAATATAATATTAATCATTAATATTTAGATCCTAATAGAATAAGGTTATTATTTTTTTTTAAGAAGGCAATGCTAATTGAGAATTTAATATATTCAATNAGAGTTTATATAATCATTACAATTATCATCAATATCTAAACATTAAATTAATTTATTCTATAATTCTTCTTTATAATTATATTTCTTCATTAAATCTGAAATGCATCTTATGATATCATAATTATTTGAATTTTATGATTTACATAAATTAATTATTGGTATCATTATTTCATTATATATTTAATTCCTTTTATCATTATTAGTCCATTTTAAATGAATTCTATTAAAACAACGATTGATGATAATTTATATAATTTCTTTCATTTTACTAGATGCTTTTTGTAAAAATTTAGATTTCTCATAAATTGGACATTAATATCCTGTAAAATGGATTGAATATATTAATATTTGATAAATAAGAGCAGGATACTAACTATTTTCTGTTAAATGAAGCCAAATTCTATTTAAATCAAGATAATTATGTTCAATTCCTTAAGATTCAATTAGTTATACTTAATTTAATAATTGAACAAATAAATAAAGCAATTATCCTAAATGAATACGAATAAAATCGGATTCCTATATAAATATAAATGAAAATGTATTACAATCCAAAATATTAAATCTGATAATCTAATACATTTTCTACGATTAATTTTATAACTTATTGATTTATTTTCTAAATCTAATTATACTTCTCCTATTCTATCAAACTCTAATGCTTTTTTTATTATATCCTCATTTTCATAAGAATATACTTCCTCACTTACATAAAACAAATTTAACATCTTATAATTATTATATTTCTATTAACCACTTAAAATATATATCCTTTTTTAATTAATTACAGAATTAAAATTATCAATAAGTGTTTAACTAAATCAATAGATTACAAGACAGAAGATGTCATTTCATTATTAGAGAACATTTTTTTTAATTGAATTTTAAAAGATAGCCAGATGTAATAATTATTTATCAGAAATTTATATGAATAATAATTCAATTGATTTACACTTTTCAAATGATATATATTGTTATCTCATTATAAATTTAATATAATATTAATCATTAATATTTAGATCCTAATAGAATAAGGTTATTATTTTTTTTTAAGAAGGCAATGCTAATTGAGAATTTAATATATTCAATTATAAGAATTTTAATTAAAGTTTGAAATATACTATGAAAGGTTTGAGATAAAATTTCTAATTTTACACAAATAAATAGAAAGAAAATTTAATGAAAATCCGGAGAGTTTAATTATGCAAAAGTGGATAGTCTTAGAACTTTAAGTTTTATGAGAATGTTATTTTATTTAAGCTTTTACCCTGTTTTTTTCATAATGAAAATTATTAATGAGTTTTGATCTGGAAGTTATTATATTGGATTATTACCTGTAGACGAGTTAAAATATTAAAACGAAAATTGATTGAAAAATATTTAGTGTTTAGAAAATAGAAAATTTTAATTGAAGAGAGAAATTATGATGTTAATATATAAAATATTGATTTAGTTATTAGTTTCAAAATCAAATGAATGCAAAATATCTGGATTTTTATAAGCATGTAAATCTTATCTTAAAAATAATGTGATTGTTTCATTCAAATAAAGTCAAACTATTAGTAATAAATAAGGAAAATTTGAATTAGAAATAGAATTAAATTAAGTACAAGGAGCTAAGTTTTAATATTGCAAATTAATTCACAATGTAAAAGATTGTGTCTCCTTTTACAATTATTAATATGTACTTTATTTATAAAAAAGAAAAACCACTTTTGATTAATTAAAAGTATAATCTTTTATTTCAAAATAACATTGTGACTATCTATTTTGATTATGATCATTATTTATTATAAACTCATCAAGGAGCTAATGCTGCTATCAAAGATACCATAAATATTGGTTATTCTCTAACCTCTTTTATCTCTGTGACTTTTTCATACTTCTTGAAAATCTTTGTAAAAGCCTTAAAGGTACCAATGTGTCCAGCTCCTGTTAGCATTTTTTTAAATCCTTGTTTTCTACTTTCTACTGCTGACAAATAGGAACATATAATGGCAAGATTTTGTTAGCAGTAATCAGCTCTTGTTGCTAAGTGACTTAAATAAGATATTTCATTTTTTGGAAGACTTTTTGTATCACTATATACATCTAACAAAGTTTTGATCATTTTTCCAATTTCTTTCATAGCTTAGGAGGGTTCTTTTCCATCATCTACATGCATATCTGACTTAGATGATAAATCATAACTTAAACATGCTGAAACAAGTTTCTCTCCATGAAATGCACCAAAAGAGAGATTTTTTTCAACCATCAAGACACTAATTAATGGTTTATAAATAATCATTACTATTCTTGAAGACAGGCATCATTATTCATATCTGAGTCGATTGATTCTAAAATCTTGAATGCATCATTATAATAAACAAATGCATCACTCATTAGCACCATGAGTTCATAAGCATCTTTTTTTTCAAGCATTCGAAAAGTGTAGACCTTCTCTTTTTCCTTTATAAGTTCTGATAAGTCATTTATATTAGTGGTCTCCATTTATTAATTTGATTTTTTATATAGATGTAGCAAATTTTTTGTAAATGGATGAATTTCAATCGCAAACCCAAATAATCTTAGCTTGTATTAAAAAATTAATAAATTTAGAATATAATGATATTTAAACAAAAATAAATCTTTAGTTAGATTTATTAATATTTTGAAAACTAATTATATGCTCTAAGCAGTTTTATGTAATATTCTATTATAATATATAAAATATTAATGAATTTTATCTGATAAAAATATTTCGGATAATAATGAAAGTTAATAAAAATTAAATATTTGTATTCTTTTAGCTAATATACATACTTTTAGATAAATAGATTTTTCAAATAAATTCATCAATGACTAATATTACTTGTAATAAAATGAATATATCAATTTCTTCATTCACTATTTCTAATAACAATTTAGAATATAAACTTAATTAACATTATAACAAATGCTATTAATCATATCTGATATAATAATGTGGAGAATTATAAAAGTATTAATTCAATCTCATATTTACAATTTTTTTTACTATATTTTAAGTTAATTTTTGTATTTCTTCTTCTAAATATTCTAATTTATATTATATTAATTTTTATTATAAAGTATCCTTGACAATTACTTAAATAATATTTTCTGTAGAATTCTTTAATTAGATTTAATATTCTTCATAAAATGATTCCATTGACTTTAAATAATGATTATCCTTTTCTACTTTTTTTAATTTTTATTAATTTTCTATAGTAGATGCTATGTTTTTCATCTAAGTTAAAATAATCATTTCCAAAATTAAGGGATTTTCTTCATCTTTTAAAACTTAAACATACTCTTTAATCTATTATTCAATTTATTTTATGTTTTGATTTCTAATGATTTCCACTTTTTAATTTTTTAATGAATCTTCAAATTTAATAGTTTATTATTATTCATCAAACCCAAATTCTTTTAAGATACCTTAAATTTTATCTAAAGTAGCAAAAATATCAAGTTTATCACAAACTTATATAATTGGATCATAAATTTATTACTTAATTTCATTTTGTGTAGAATTTTTAAAAAACATATTATTTTTTTAAAATTGCTTCAAAATAGCTTTTATAATTTGTTAAATTTTTTCATAAGCTGATATGGGTAGATTTGAACCTATTACATATTATTAGCATTGGTATCCTGTAAATGCTATTTTATAATCAATTTTAGTATAAACAAAACCTACAGATCTGAATGAATTTTAAAATATTAACCATATTCTATTAGGATCTAAATATTAATGATAAATATTATATTAAGTTTATAATGATATTACTTTATTTAATAAATTAACAAATAAGGTTAATAATTACCCTAAATATAAACGTACAAAGTTTTAATTCTAATATTTAATTATATAATTTACAATCATATATATAAGATCACTTAATCTAAGACATTTTGATCTATCAATTTAATATTTAATTATTTATTCATCTTCATAAATATTTATTATTCCAATCTAATCAATCTTAATTATTTCTTTTAACTATTAAACATCTTAATAACTATAAAATTATTAACATATATATTCCATTCCTAACATAATTATATATTAATATTAATATTAATTTATTTTCTATTAAATTATTAAAAATTATGTGAAAAATTGTATTTATGTGCTTTATGATGTAAATAATTAATCATTGTACTAACATTAAAATGGCAAACATCAAAAATGACCAGATTTGTCCATTACTGCTTTCACATTCGGTTTATCCAATAGTTCCACAATCTGGTTTATTGTATGCTTTAGCTTCTTCAGCGGTTGGGCATGAAGAATTGGCATCCTTCTTAATGCATTCTAAAGTAGTTGAACCAACAGCTTTAGCAGATGAGACTTCAGTTCCATCAGTAGTGGCAGCATCTTCTAAAAATCTGAATCTACGAGCTGCAGTTGGATCTTCAAGTTTACCATTCACTGAAAATTCAACATTATTAGCAAGAATATCAACATTCAATGTATAAATTGTTTATCCAGGTTATTTTTCTTATGAAGTTGGTTTCAATTTTTTATTAACTCCATCACCAGTAATGGTAACATCAGCATCTCCGACTTTCCATGATTCAAATCCAGTTTATTTTACTCTTTGAACAACAAAGAAATTTTAACCAGCATAGATTTATGGCTATTCAACAAGAGTTTAACAGGTTTAGTCACTGCAAAATCCTACTTCAGTTTCTGCTCTTGATACACAATTATCTTCTGTTGCACAAGCAGGAGTATCATCTTAAGCTTCAGATTAAGCTTGAGCTGATAAAACATTTCCATCTAAGTCTACTGCTACAAAGAATGTAAAGAAGAATTAAACTAATTTCTTCTCTTAGATTGTTAATTTCACTGAATAGTAACCAGTATAAACAACCTTATCGGTTTATTCATCTTTGAATAATTTACTATCAATGTCAGCATTCAATATTGTGAATTCCCAAATTCTTACTTATTTATCATCATCATAACTGCTTGTAACAGTTGAATCATCTAAAGTTTCACTTAAGAAACTTGGTCTATATCTGTATATTGATCTTTCTACACAAGCATTTGCATTTCCGTCTGATTTAACAAGAGCTTTATCTTTGTTATCAGGGAATATCAATTATACAACAACATCTTTATTGTCATTGAAGTCAGCTTTTCCATCAAATTTCATTGGTAATTTCTTTTTTCCACCTTCTTATTTGCTTTAAACTTTTTCCAAGTTTTCACAGGTTTAAGCTACACATCTATCTTTGAAAACTATTTCAGTCTCAGCACAGCTAACTTCGACTTCAACACATTTTTCTTGTTGCTCTGAATCTTAATTCCATTATCCTTTTGATTAAGGAGGTCCTTAAGGTTATTATCCTTGTCCACCTTATTGTCCACCTTATTGACCACCTTATTGACCACCTTGTTGACCACCTTATTGACCACCTTATTGACCACCTTATTGACCACCTTGTTATCCGCCTTATTACTGTCCAGGAAATTATCCACCTTACTATTATCCACCTGGTTATTAAGTTCCACCTGGTTATTAAGTTCCACCTGGTTATTGAGTTCCACCTGGTTATTGAGTTCCACTTGGTTATTAAGTTCCACTTGGTGGTTATTGGGTTCCACTTGTAGGTTGTTGGGTTCCACTTGGTGGTTATTAGGTTCCACTTGTAGGTTATTAAGTTCCACTTGGTGGTTATTAAGTTCCACTTGGTGGTTATTAAGTTTATGTTCCAGATGGCTATTATTACACTTATTAATCTGGAAGTTGATTTCCAGGGAGGGTTTATTAAGTTGGTTATTACTGTCCTTATTATTAACCCTATTATTATCCTTATTATTGTCCTTATTATTATTGTTATCCTTATTGTGCTTAAGTTGGTTAGCATTTCTTGGCTTTTCCTCCAGTCTATGGACCACCTTATTGACCACCTTATTGACCACCTTGTTGGCCACCTTATTGCATACCACCTTGTTAGCCGCCTTGTTACATACCACCTTGTTGTTAGCCACCTAAAAATGATAAGATATTATTAGATACCGGCTGTATTTTATTATCCTTATTGGCCAGTAGGGGCACCTTATGTGGGACCTGAGCTTCCAGAGGGAGCTAAAATGATATAGATTTTAAGATCATACCTTGGGTAGGTTATTGAGCACCTTAAGTAAGTTGTGTGAACACTGAAGAGACAATGCAAAGGAGTAGTAAAATTTTGATGATTTTCATTTCAAGTAAATAAATTATGTTTTTTTCATTCTTAATCAACGGGGTTATGAACCCCTGACGGTAATTTATTAAGTTTAATTATTGAAATAAGAGTTTATTTATGTAATTCAAAGATACGATTCCAGAATTTTTTAATCTAAAGTTAATTTAGGGTTCAAGATACTTTGTTATTTTGTTTAAAGCACTATGTTGGTAATAATGTAGTAGTTTGTTTAAAAAAAGAAAGTTTAAGCAATTTTCAAAATTTTCTGATTTGATTCATCAAAGTAGAATGGATGATTCTATTGTGTGCATCTCTCAAATAAAGGATGAAATGAATGCCTAGTTATCAAATTGAATAGGATTAAGTGAAAGGAAAGAGCATTTTTGAGATCAGGTTGATGCCCGATGTAAATAATGTTATAAAATTATACTTAAAAATATTGTAGAATAGGTGGTTACATCCAAAAGTAGAATTACTTAATTCAGTGAAACAATTACCAATATTCTAATTGTTAAATTCCTTAAAATTCATGAGACATGAGCAAAATTGAAAAATTGATATGAATATTTCAAGTAGTTAATGTAATACAGCTTAGATATAATTTCATTCTTTCTCATTCTCAGCTTAAGATTGTAAGTAAATTAGATTTAAGGTTTTGAAGTCTTCTTTTGCACCTTTTTTTTAAAGAAATCTTTTGAGAAGTATTTTGTTATTCGAAAGGAATGATGTCACAATTATGTATAATCGTAGAACATATATGATGATGAATAAATAAATGGTAATCAAGAATGTTATTACTATTGGATAAATGATTGTTAAACTGATTGATTATTAGACTATACAAATCGTGACTGGAAAAATTATGATCTAAGCGGTCTTTCACCTTCATAATATTTTAAGCGTTCATCTTGGATTTCTATTCTTTGTTACATAACTTTTATTTTTTCTTATTATTCTCTTAGTTATTTTTGGAGTTCTTATTTTTGAATTATAGTTGACATAAAGTCTGACTGAGTTTTTTATATGATGGCATTCAATTGAAGCATTTGTTAATTTTGAATATTGTTTTCTTTTTCTTCAGGCATATAAACAAATGATTCATCTTATCCAGATTTCTTTGGAACTTATTTTCTTTCATTTTTTAGATGTTGACGATATAATCGTCTAATCATATCAGAATAAAAGACTTCTTAACTCTCATCTCTGGCCATTTCTTAAGGTAATAATTAACTTAATCTTTATTGGATAATGATACTGGAACTACCATTACCAAAGGTTCTAAATCAAATTATTATATATACTATTATAAATCCAATTTAACAGCTCTTCTTAATTCCTGAATAATTTTCATTGGTACCATACATTCTGGCAAATGACGTTTAATTAATAACTTGTTAAAGTACAGAATCTTATTAAATCTCACTCCTAATATACACAACTTTTCTAGTGTAATTCTATAACATGAGACTTTCAAACAATCTGGATCCATGGGAAACCATTTAGCCCAAACCCATATGCATTCCAAAACTAAATGCAATAAAGTATTTCCAAGTTTTGCTGTATAAGGATCAGGCTCTTTACTAAAATAAAATTAGCCTCTGTCATGAGCTTCACTTTTATATTCAAACATGGCCATTGATTCAAAATATGGTAAGACTTCCAATTAGAATTGACTAATGAAATCATCATTGAATGTTTCCATACAGTCTTTACTAAACTATAAAGAAATATATTGATTATATACTCTAACAGCTTGAAGCATCATGATTGGATCTGTTTTTGGATCTTTAAGAATAGCTATTAGTAAAGTGATGATATTTTTTAAAACTTGAGTATCTCCTTATAATAGTTATTATCTAATTTCTTGAGTCTTACCATAATTTTCAAAAGTTTAGAGACTTTTCTTTAATACATAATACTCAGTCATTTTATAAATAAATATAATAATGGAATAAAAATAAGTTTTACATTTTGGAAATCATCAAAATACTAATAGCAATAAACGATAAGTCAAGGAGAATAATTAAATTTATAAGTTTTTTTTATCACATATTTTATTCAATTTAATTTAAATATTGTTATGAGTCATATAAGTAAAGGATATTTGTTAATAATTCATTGAATTTAGAGTTGGATTAAATTATATTAAAAAGGAAATAATAATTAAATCATGAATAATGAGCTTCTGCAATTTTAGTTGATTTTATTATCTTCATCTGCGATCACTTTATTTTATATTTATGATCGAGAATTGAATAAATAGAAGATTTAACTATTGTTTTCTATATGTAACATAAGCATATTTTTGATTGAAATAAGAATGATAGGAAATTTGCAATGTATATATGTGTCACCAAACAATATTAGATTTAACAATAGCAGCTGCAATGTTTTTAATATTAAGATATTATTGTAAATAACCAACCTAAACCTATATTCCATAGATAAACATATTGAATACTTAAGTCTAAGAACGTACAGGGAAAATAGATCAAGAAATGGAATAATAACCTCAATATTTACCAGCCATACCATCAATTCATGAAAGCAATTCTAGTATGACACCTAAATAGAATCGACTTTCTAATGAGAATATTAATGGACCTTAAAATACTACAGAAAGAGGATAGCAACATATTAAATAGGATTCTGGTATGAGTTTTTTGGGAGATAACAAAAGATCATCATATTCTAAAAACTATAGCAATGGTGGTATACCTTAACGATAACAAAGCAATTAACAGATTTAATGTAAATAAAGTGTCTTTATTTATTAGCTAATTTTAACGTTATAAAGTTTCAAGATGATTGTGGAGAAATCAAATTTGGCATTCTCAAGACTTTGAAATCAGTAAATTATGATTAACTTGGAAAAGAGATGGAAGTTATATACTAAAATGACAAAACACTTACAAAGTTATTATCAAACATTGAGAAGAAAGGAGGACCTAAAATTTAGATTCTTTATGAAAGTCAATAATAAACACATTAAATTATTGATGATAATTTAAGAGGTGCTGTTTAATTAGATTATACTAATAATGATTCAATTAAAATTGATGAACCAAAAAAAGTTACATGGAAGAAGATTTTGTTAACTTTATTTTTCTAAATTGTTTTAATTTGTAATTTATACATTAGTTAAACATGGCATTTAGTATAAGTTATCTTATTTGCATTTATATGTTTAAGATAAATATTAGTATTGTCAAAGTTAAAAATAAAAGAATTAGAAATTTCATTAGAGTTAAGACAAATTTTAATATGGAATTCCTTTGTGTTTTTACCTTTAATTTCTTTATTTATGTTAAACTTTATAATATAAAGTATCGCTTTAATAGTAAATACAGTTGCTTAAGTCATCTCACTTATGATCACACTTAAATATTACTAAGCATGTTATGAGTAATTTGTATCTTATATATATATTAGGCATATTCATATAGTATCTTTTTATATACTTTTATTGGCCACTATTCTTTGTTTTATTTGAAGCATTTATCTATATAATAATTCTTATTATTTTATATAAATATCAATTATTCTACTCTCTATCTTTATATTAATAATTTTATATATTAATAATAAAAGAACTTAAATACAATTTTAAGATCATTCAAATAATTGGTATATAATTAATAAATAAATGATATAGTATATACTTAGATTAAGATGGATTATGGAATATGAGAAAGTATAAATATTATTGAATATAAAAACCTAATAAATATAAATTAAAAAATTAGGTAATAGATTAAAGAAAAGTAAAAATGAATAATATTCTTTTGAGATTCTCTTTTCTAGTTTAGTTATTAATTTCTCTATAAATCTTTTGAATAATGCTTTCTAAACATAGAAACTATTAAAAATTNATAACAAAGCAATTAACAGATTTAATGTAAATAAAGTGTCTTTATTTATTAGCTAATTTTAACGTTATAAAGTTTCAAGATGATTGTGGAGAAATCAAATTTGGCATTCTCAAGACTTTGAAATCAGTAAATTATGATTAACTTGGAAAAGAGATGGAAGTTATATACTAAAATGACAAAACACTTACAAAGTTATTATCAAACATTGAGAAGAAAGGAGGACCTAAAATTTAGATTCTTTATGAAAGTCAATAATAAACACATTAAATTATTGATGATAATTTAAGAGGTGCTGTTTAATTAGATTATACTAATAATGATTCAATTAAAATTGATGAACCAAAAAAAGTTACATGGAAGAAGATTTTGTTAACTTTATTTTTCTAAATTGTTTTAATTTGTAATTTATACATTAGTTAAACATGGCATTTAGTATAAGTTATCTTATTTGCATTTATATGTTTAAGATAAATATTAGTATTGTCAAAGTTAAAAATAAAAGAATTAGAAATTTCATTAGAGTTAAGACAAATTTTAATATGGAATTCCTTTGTGTTTTTACCTTTAATTTCTTTATTTATGTTAAACTTTATAATATAAAGTATCGCTTTAATAGTAAATACAGTTGCTTAAGTCATCTCACTTATGATCACACTTAAATATTACTAAGCATGTTATGAGTAATTTGTATCTTATATATATATTAGGCATATTCATATAGTATCTTTTTATATACTTTTATTGGCCACTATTCTTTGTTTTATTTGAAGCATTTATCTATATAATAATTCTTATTATTTTATATAAATATCAATTATTCTACTCTCTATCTTTATATTAATAATTTTATATATTAATAATAAAAGAACTTAAATACAATTTTAAGATCATTCAAATAATTGGTATATAATTAATAAATAAATGATATAGTATATACTTAGATTAAGATGGATTATGGAATATGAGAAAGTATAAATATTATTGAATATAAAAACCTAATAAATATAAATTAAAAAATTAGGTAATAGATTAAAGAAAAGTAAAAATGAATAATATTCTTTTGAGATTCTCTTTTCTAGTTTAGTTATTAATTTCTCTATAAATCTTTTGAATAATGCTTTCTAAACATAGAAACTATTAAAAATTAACAATAAATCAATTTAATGTTCTTCTATATAAAGATACTTATATTTATAATTATTATTTAATAAAATGGAATTTATGGACAGATTGATATACAATTTGAAATTATTAAAAATTGAACAACTCTAATGGCCTTATAAAAATTATAGTGGATCTGAGGGAAAGATTTATGGTTGTAAATATAACTATCAAAATAATTGGAAATAAGGCATTTTAAAAGTATAAATATATATTGATTAGGTTATCTAATATGATCAATCATTAAATTCGAAAGATGAATAATAAATGTATAAAGAAATCATAATATATAATAAGTTGGTAGAGGATTTTAAGAATAATGAGAATTTAGTCACTATCGTAAATATAATCCATTTTTAAGATTTGAAATCTTTTTGTATTCTAATGGAAGAATGTGATATTAATTTAAAAGATTTTAAGAGCAAACTTACAAGTCTGAATTCTAAACTCTAATTCTTCTAATAATTTCTAAAAGGATATAAATCGTTATATGACAAAAGAGTTATTCACAGAGATATTAAACCTGAAAATATTCTAATAAGTTTTAAGATGGGAAAACCTATATATTAATTGACAGACTTTGGAGTAGCAAAGCTTTGTGAACAATTTAATAATACTTAAAGCTAATTGGGAACCAAAATATATGCTGCTCCTGAACTATAATATATGTAAAGTTTTTCAAATAATTTCTAATTTGATTATGAAAAAATATCAAAAGTTGATGTTTATTCTGTATATAATCATAAATAAAATAGATTGGACTTGTATTGTACGAATTATAGTTTTAAAAATTGCCTTTTGATAAACCTAAGAATTTGAAGGAATTCCATAATTCACCTTTGAGTTCTAGACTTTAGAAATTAGGAAAAATTGAATATTCAGATTAATGGTTTGTAAATTTAATAATGTACATGATTCAAAGTAATCCTGATGAAAGAGTTAGTTTCTAAGAATTATATAAATGTTATGATGATAAACTAACTATATTTATTGAACGTTGTAAGGGATTGGCTGAGAATTTTCTGATATCCTATGTTCGTAGAGGTGGAGACAATACATAGAGATATAATAATAGCTTATCTCCAAATAGATAGAATTATTTAATTTAAAACTTTAATGAATTTCCATTATAGAAATAACAAATACAAAATTAATAATTTTATATAAATAAACCAATGCCTCATAATCCAATTCCACCAATTAATATTTAATAAGATATTCATTTATCACCTTTTAAATATCAAGGAATTAAATTGGATTTAAATTAATAAAAATAACACTAAATGAATTACTAATAATATTAATAGTGTCAGACAGATAGAGGAAATGATTAAAATTTCAAAAACAAATATTTTAAAAATTGATTTATATATATTTATTATTTATATAAATTGAGGTTTACCCATTCTTTCTTTTATTAATTGAATCATTTTAGAATAATATAAAACTAGTTTTGAAATTATTAATTAACATTTAAATAGAGAAATGTTTGGACAATAGAAGAAAATGTTAAAAAGAATGAGTAATTATACTATTGATACTTGTGATATCTTTGGATAATTGCCCAATTTTAGAGTACTTGAAAAAGGAAGATATACTTCTGTTGTAGGATGTTGCATGACCTTTCTTATAGGTTCAGCCACTTTGATTTACTTGATAACCGAAATGATTATCTTAATTGATCAAGCAGAACCTAGTGTTGTGTAATCAGAGCAACAAATATTTAACTCAACTGTATAATCTATATTTTAATAAAGTAATTTCCACTCTATAATGATAACTTCACTCTAGCTATAACAATTGCAAATTAACATTCAGAGCCAATTGTAGGAAATTTGAAGTATTATAATATAACTGTGAATTAATGTATTAGACAAAGACTTGTCAATTATATTAATGGAAGTGTTAATGTCACATTAAAGTATTTAATTATATTATTTAGTTGTACAAGTCTTCCAATTGCTCCATGTACAAAAGAAGATTTCGATAATGAAATACAATAAAACTTTTTCAAGAATACTAGATTAGGAGTCGTTTAATGCTTAAATAGAGAATTTTTAAAGAGAAATCCACCAGTAAATTTACTATAAAATTTGACAGGTTCTACAAGGATAGATATCTGGATCAGTATACTAATACTTGGTGATTCAATTAAGTGTTTGTAAGAATAGCACAGAATATTAAGGTTGTGCATCAAAAGAAGAAATTAATAATGTTTTATCTGCAGGTCATTATTCAGTATATGCCAGTGATTATTTAATGTAATTGAATAAACCTGGACAACCCTATTCTTAATTGATTAATTTAGATATAAATAGTTTTTCAATAACAACTTCTAAGATGTTATAATGGACTTATAGAATTGTTGAAACTCATACAGATGATGGTCTACTTCTCTCAAAAGATAGAGTAGATTTAAATTTAGTTAAATAAGATAGAAGAGAATATTCTGAATTGTATAATGATAATTATTTAGTCTATCATTACATATAATTAGATTATAAAGAAAGTGTATATCGTAGAACGTATATAAAATTATAGACCATATTAAGTAAAATAGGAGGTATTTGGCAATTATTTGTAATATTGACAGCCACAATCTTAAATCCTTTGATTAACAATCTCATGACTATATCAATAGCTAATGAATTATATAGATTTCCAAAGAATCCAAATTCTATAGATAAGAATTAAAATATTCATATTAATAATCATATAGTTGATCCATTATCTACTATAAGATAAGATTAAATACCAACACAAGAAGAAAAACTATCAAAAAGTCTTTATGAATCTTTCCTTATTTTACTTGGATGTCATAAAAATAAAAGACATATGTTTGATAAAGTCAAATAAGAAATCTTGGGTTAAATAGATATTGTGAAAATTATAGAGAAATTACACTAAATTGATATGCTTAGATTTATTCTCTTAAATGAAGAATAAAATAAATTATTTGATTTATTACCTAAACCTCTTTTGTAAATTGAATAAGATTAACCTGAAGATCTTATTGTTGATGATTTAATCTAAGAAATAGAATTACAAAAGAGTTTTAGAGTGATAAACAATAAAAAACTACAGACTAAACTTAAAGATTATTATTGTTCATTCTCTTCCTTATAATAAGAGAAATGTAAAAGTATTGTAGATGATAAATTATTGCATATGATTGACAAGAATATTGTTCAATTTTTTGAGTAGATCTAAATCTCTCAATAAAGGAATCTTAATTTAAGTCCACTTGATCCTCTCTATAGATCTAGAATTGAAGAATCTATTATTGAACCTAAAATTCAAAAACCAAAGTGATTTATTTTTATTTTATATTATCAAATGAGAAATAGATCTCCAAAACTAAAAGAAAAAGCTCTTTATTACTCAAGAGATAATGAACCTATTCCTAAACCTTTTGTCAAGTTGATTGAAAAGTAAAAGGAAAAACAAGATTAAAAGTGGAATCGTTATTAAGATGCTAAATTCTCTACTCCCTAAAATCTATATTCCAGTCCAACCAAAAGACCAATATTTACTTCTCCTAATAATTTCACTGTCCCTAAAAAACTCTTTTTTCCAACTACTCCATCACATACATAGAATCTAACTCCTAATAAAATAGAATTCTAAAATTTTGACTATTCTCATTAATCTGTTAAATTGAGTTAATAAAATGAAATTAAATCACCAGATTAATCATAAATCAAACTTGTTAATTAAGAAAATGTTGAAATCTAAATTGCATAGATTAATAATTAAGATGATCAAGTAGATATCCATCAATAATAAGAATATATCAATCCACAAGAAGTGTAAGCATCATTAAACTATTCTAATTAAATCATAACTTAATAATAATTAATTATAGAAGAAAATAAATTATAAGAACCACTTAATTAAATTACAATTATAAATGAGGAAATCAATAAATATTCATAAGGAATTCAAATTAAAATTACTGAAGTATCATGTTTAAAAAATGTCCATACATAATAATTTATTAAATTGCTCTACTAAATCCATGAAATTTTAGGTTAGATAGAAAATTCAAAAGATAAATAAAAAATTACATTAAAATCTAAAATTTTATAAGATCTAATTGCTTTCTTTGCAACAGTTCTTCCAGAATTAGAATGTAAAATAATATAAGAATTAGTCTAAACATCCATATCATTAGCAAATAAAAAATTACTAGCACTTTGAGTATTTATTAATTTATTAAACTCTTAATGTCATCTATTTTTTTAATAAAATTAATTGCTTTCAATATTAAATCATATATTATAGGTATTATATATAATTATTCTAAAATATCTATGAAAGTTATAAATTAGATATATTTAATTATAACTAAAAATAAAATTATATAATATATAAATTATTAAGTGAAACATTAATATAAAATAATAGAAATTAAAAGACTTAATAGATAAAAATAATAGTATAAATATAATTAAATTTGTATAATGATGAATCTACAAATTTGAGTATTAATGAATGTTGATTTGATCTAAAATCAGCATAAAAATGAGAATTTGATAAAAATACAAATTAGATTAGAAATGAATTTTAATAGTTTATAAATAGACAATAAATTATACATTATAGTTTATAAAAGAATATAATTCTTTAAAAGATAATTATTATTAAATTAAGATCATCAATATTAATCCTTCAATATGATATAAATTTTATTTCCATGTTTTCTTTAAACATACAAATGATATAATTAATCTTTTAGATAAATTCAATAGATTGTTATTTTACAGATACTTTGGTAATAAAGTTTATAAGAAGGGAATAATAAGATTAAGGATTTGAACGTTAAAGAGAATATTAATAAAATATTTTATTATATAAAATTATGAGTAGGAAGTATATATTTGAAAGAAAATTATAATAATTTTTTATTTTATATTTAATTTTATGTCTGGTAAGGAAGACGAATATGAAAAGTTGCTCTCTGAATAAAATCTAAAGGATAGATTAGAGGCTCCTTAAACTGAAACTGCAAGATAAAGGAAATGGCGAATAGTAAAAAGAAAGTTTGCTGAAGTTTAAGTGTATGCAAAATAAGGTTTTATAATGGGATCATTGGTTGGAGGTGGATTTGGATTAGTAACTGGATTATGGGCAGCAGTTTAATATAAAAAATTATCTATGATTCCTATATCAGTAATAGTCAGTGGAGGTAGTTTCGGTTTCATCATGGCATGTGGTAGTATGATTAGAAGTGATGAGCTGATTGCAGGTGAATATTAATAACATTTCAACTTTAATAATTAGCAAGTTCCAATATAATAATTCTGGCTGAATAGAAAATATGAATGAATTATGATAAATTGTTAAACAATTTCATCATTATTTGAAGACTTTAATTTTATTATTAATAATGATTATAATTTTTCTAATTTCTCTGCCAATAAAATAAATAATCTAAAATCAAATTGAATATGTGTTTGTTAATCATAAATAATAATTATTTAATATATGTAGATATTTATAAGTGATTTAAATAAAAATATAGATGCATATATTATATATATTATTTTAAATGCAAATCTATAAATTAATTAACTCATCGAAAATTTCTGATGATGGATTTAATTCCTGTAAAAATGAATTAAATAATTGTATATGGAAATAGAAATGGAAAAAGTAAAATAAATAGTAATAGAGCAGTATAAAACTTATTCTTACAAAAATCAAATTAGTGAATAGGATCAAAGAATTTAGACACTAAATAAATAATTGCTAAATAAGGTAAAATAAATCCAACAACTAGAATCATTATAAAATAAGCAAATTTGTAAGATAATAATTCTTATTTTTAACAAGAGTAACAAATGCCTTTAGTGGATGAAAAGAGTTCAAGTTATACTCCACAATATAAGCAGAAATTAGATTAACAGAAATTACAATGTTTAATTAATCCATTCTATACAAAATTGTAGACTTTACATTTCTAACATTTGAAACCTTGCTGAATTAGTTACCAACATAATTCACAAATATATTTTTAGTTATAAAACAGGATATAATGATCTATGAATATGAGTTACTGTGTGTGAAATGTAATAAATTTTTAAACTATTTATTGGATATAAATATTTGTGTATTATGTCTTAAATTCTAAAGGAAACAAGAATAATTCTTATTTTAAGGTTCCATCTTATAATTCGCATAAGGAACAATAATTTTACATGCTTAATATTATTAAAATTATAAATGTTTATTGGATTTCATCATCTCTTTAATAATCTTTTCTATAATATTTTCTCATCCTTTGGTATTCTTCCAAACTTGTCTTGAACCTACCAATCAAAAATCACTCCAGGATTAGATAGAAATTGTAAAGCAGCATCATTACCTACAGAAACAGCCAAATGAGCAACAGTTCTATTATCTTCAGTTTTATATTAAGTAAAATCTCTTTCTCCAGCCTCATAAAAGAGATTAAGCATCTCTCCTTTGCCATTTGCAATATCTAACATCAAAAGTTAAGTCAACTCTTTTATTGGAGCAATCAATTTCCCTTGGAATCTCAAGAGTAATTAGATCATTTAAGTATTCTTAGCCATAACAGCTTCATACATAGCACTATGTTTCCATCTATCAACATTATTAACAATTTCTGGGCATTTCCTGAGAATGAGTTCTGCAATTTCTAATGAACCTTCTCTTGCAGCTACATGTAATATACTTCTTTTATCATAATCTTATGCTTTATAATTGATTTCCTATTGTTAATTTATAGTTCTATTACAATTTTTGATAATTTCATTGATGATAATTTCTTCTTTTGAACACATATCTAACACAATATATTTGGAAACACAAGATCTTTATTCAAATCTATTTTGGAATGTTACTATTTAATGGCTGATGATAAGGCCATTAAAAATGGTTCAGTCTCTGCTGTACCACCTGATTCTGTTAATTCTCCTCTTATATTTCTTTAAAACTCATCCTTAACCTTATCAACATCATCAGTTTAAGCTAATAAATATCCTAATTTAGTAAAAGCTGCTTAAGATGTCATATCTCCTCCACTTATACTAAAAATTAATCATTATAGAAATATACACTCCCATATTCTCAAATATGATGCCTGTCTCATAAATCATTTCTACTTGTGATGTATGACATTGAGATATATTGACTATGACAATTCCTCTTTTGGCTGCCTATGCAATTTCATTACAAAACTTTTCTTCTGTTTACATATTACCTGCTCCATAAGTCTCTATAACAACACCTTTCAATTTCTCATTCTTAAATATCTCATTTAGAGTGACATGATTTAATAATGGATTCAAACGTATCAAACTTATATTTGTACAGAATTTCTTATTCACTTATAAATTCTCTTCATTGGGATTCTTCATTATAATATCCCATTTAATACTAATATTTACTCCAAAATATCCTAAAGGAGTGAATTTTGGAGAATCAAATGAATCCAAAGAAGAAGAATTAACTTTCTAAGCTCTATTACCTCTTAATAATTTATCCTAAAAACATATTAATACTTCTGGAATAGTAAAATGTCCAGCTATTGTGAGAGCATTAAGAAAATTAGTAAATCCATCATTTCTTGGTTGTGACAAAGGAACTTAACTACCTGTCAATATCACTGTTTTTGATAGATTTTGAAACATAAAAGATAAAGCACTTGCAGTATATGCCATAGTATCTGTTCCATGTAAAATGATGAAACTATCATAATATTTATAGGCTTTCTCTATCCTCTCAGCTATGGTTACCCAATCATCTGAAGTCATGTTTGAGGAATCAAGCAACTTATCTAATTCATCAACTTTAAACCAAATTCTCCTATTAAAGGCTGTTATGGGAGTAATTAGAAAATCATCAGTAGCCTTAAAGTAAGTGTAATCCATATCACAAGAGAATGGATTGTTTTGTAAAAAGTTTTTTAATGCTCCCGTTTTTGTAACATATCCAGATGAAGATGGAAACATTGATATTGTTCCACCTGTATTCAATATTAAGACCTTTCTAGGTTAGTCACTTAATTTTTCTTTGATGATATCATGATGATTTTGCATATCAATCACTAAATGCGATTTAATTTTTGTAACATTTTGAGTATCATCATCAATATGCATTTTAAAATAAATTATTAATATCGAGATAAACCAAAAAAAATTATAAAATTTATTCATATAATCATGAACTTAATACTTCTATATCTATTAAGTCTTATTTTGATTGAACTTTAGTTAATTTAATTTCTTAATGCTGTCTTGAACTACTACCTAAAGTATTATGAGACTTCTTTATATTATAATTGCTTAAACTATTAGGTGATCTTTTTGTCTATTGTTCTTTTTTAGAACCCTTTAAAGTTATACAATCCATATCATTATCATCTTCACCTTCTTCATTCTAAGAATCTAATTAAACCATACGATTTTTTAAAGCTGGAGTAATAACTCTCTTATTTTTACTTTTATTCTATTTTGATTATCTGGATATCTTTTCTAGTTCAACAAGAGAATTGAAACTATATTAAATTGTTGGTTCAACCATTTTTAATAATCTTTTGTTCAATGATTATTCTAAATTGTTATTATGATTGAATGAATGCTCTAATTCTTCATTATGTTTAAATTAATGTTCATAATCTTTATTGCTTTTATAATGATGTTCTAAATCTTCATTACTACTATGATCATTTAAAGCCAAACTTTCATATGCTTTATACAATCTCTTAAATTTTCTTTCTGTATTGTAAATCTATCTGCCTCCTAATAAACTTTTAGAACTACTCTTTAATTTCAACATATCATTTTTTTTATTAGTCAAATCATTTTCTTATAATTAATCATCATGATGTCTAATTTCTGATCTATTCTCACTTACACAAACAACTGGTTTTGGTAAATAATTAAATACTTTTCTTTAAGTCTTATTGAGAAAAATATGTTTGAATTTCTCTATTTCTTATAGTTTATTCATAACAACTAATATATCCATATCTGTTAATATCATTTTTCTAGACTTTTCAAATATTCTAGCTTAATAATTGGTGGTGCTATTTCTTTTGAATGAACCAGTAACTTATTTAACAATAAAATGTACTCCAAATGATAATTTCTTTTTACTTTCCAAAATTAATTTTATAAATTAGTCTAAGAATTTCTCTTTATCTTTATCTAAATTTGGTTAATGATTATTTTCATGAGATTAATCTAAAGATTTCTCTGATTTTAAATTGCCATAATGTACATCATGATTTATTATTTAAACTCTATGTGTATGTACACTTACATTATCTTATTCATTTTTATCATATTATTAAGTTGAAGTAATTGGCAATCTTAATGCAGTTGCTACTCTAGTCATATGTATTACTCTATGAGCACTATGTTTAAATTTTTGAACTACATCATCAACAGATTTCATAGAGTCTATTATTTTAGTAACCAAAGATTAAAAAGAGAAAACCAACTCTCCTTTTTTTTTCTCTGGCATATCAAATTAATACAAAGCATTAGCCATTTTAATTTATAAACCAGTTTCATTATATCGAAGTATAAAGTAACCAATTACAGTGGCTAAAAACTTAGTGATGCCACCTACATAAGAGATTAGTTCATCTACTCGATAATATTGTTTTGAATGATGCATCTCAGATTATGAAAGACGTAAGTAAAATGATGCTACTTTAGTAATATTAGAAGTATAAACAGCATTTGGAGTTAATTTATTTTCCACAATAGAAAAAACATGTTCATCTTTGATATCCTTTATTCCAGGGACAACAGAATTTTCAATTGTCATTTCTTATCTCTCAAGATAAATATCTGTCTTGGTTTCGAGTCCAAGTCTTGTTGAAATATAGAAATCAGAGTAAATATAGGATAAGTAATTAGATTCTAAATTTAAATTTGAAACTCGATTGAGCATTAAAGTATTGATTTTAAAACTATTATTGAAATAGCCCTGGAGTTAGAATTACTGAATTTCAGATGTTGAATAACATTAGTTGGTGGAGCAAAGTAGAGCTGTTATTCTTCCATATTAAAACGTATTAGATTTATAGGTGCCTTCCAAAGTTAGAGTATAATTAAGTGGTAGACAATAATAGCCATTGAGTTAGTCTTTGAGTATTTTCTAGAGTTAGAAGATAAGTGATATACATTGTATATAGTGGATTCATTAAAGTCCTAAAAATGGTTGACTGTGCATTTTTCAAGTGGTAGTGAGTATTTTTCAGTTTTACTCAATGTACCATTTTCATTCATGCTTTACTCATATTAAGTATAGATAAAATCTATTAATTGTTTGGTTCCGTCGATTATAGGATCTTCTACTTGGAATGCCATCATGTAATCGTTGTAGTTGAGCATGGTTGTAGGTGGATCAATGTTCAAAATCCGATTGGATGAGATCTCAATAGATTATCTAATAAATATACAGTGAAAGTTTCCTGTTTTATTAGACTGATGGCTCCTTGTATGAAAACGATGGCCAATACAACCACCAAAAGGATTGTACAAAAGCCTCCAAATGGTGATTAATGAGTTTCTTTTTTCCTAAAATTCAACTTCACTTCTGCTCCAAATGTGTCGAAATAGGAAACTCTTTGTATGAATTTTTATATCATAAATTATTAATTAATGTAAGATGCTAATTATATTGTTAATAATCCCATAAATTGATTAGTGATAGTAATTTATTAATATAATATAAAGCATTTGTGATTACTTAATCTGATGATATTATGTCTCACGACATCAGAAATAATGTTGCTGATAAATTCACGACTCCACTGATTTATTTATACTAATACATTCTTCCTTTTTTCAATATTTATTAATTTAATTTAATTACCTTTCTACACCTTACGTCACTTAATGGCAGATCTCAAGTTGAAAATCAATGCAAGAAGATTCTCTTCCCCATATCGAAGCATAAACAATGACTAGAATATTCAACTCCTCCTTCATAATGCACATCGTTCATGCAACAGAAAAAATTCCAATAAACCATCTAGTCATTCCAAATAACATGATTATTCCTAGGACAAAATCAAAAATTAATACTAACTCTAATGCATAATTGGAGTAGGAGGATTTGGAAGAGTGTGGAAAGTCATACACAAATAACAAGTCTTTGCAATGAAAGAGATCAATAAAGCATTAGTCCTCTTAAAATAAAGTGTTCCTAGCATTATGACAGAATTAAAATTTTTAACAGAATTGCAACATCCTTTCATTGTCAATGCATATTCAGCCTTTTAAGATACTCAAAATCTCTATCTTGTTCTAGATTATTTGAGTGGAGGAGATTTAAGATTTCATTTAGGAAAACAAAGGAAATTTTCAGAAGAATAAACTAGTATTATAAAATAAATTAAATAGAGTTTTTTGTGGCATGCATTATAATTGCTTTGGAATATCTCCATAGTTAAAAAATAATCCATAGAGATATAAAACCAGAGAATCTTATATTTGACAGTCATGGTTATCTACGTATTACTGATCTAGGAGTGGCAATTAAGAAGCATGTACAATTTCCTCAAAACTTTGAAACAAGTGGAACTCCTGGTTATATGTCTCCAGAAGTTCTCTTTCGTTAAGATCATGGTATTCCTGCTGATTATTTTGCACTTGGTGTTATATGTTATGAGTGTATGACAGGTAGACGTCCTTATCATGGTTCTAGAAAAGACATTAGAGAATAAATGCTTCTTAAATAAGTTTAAATAAATACATCAGAATGGTCTCATGAAGCTAATGATTTTATTAATTAGCTTCTATTGATTAAACCATAACTTAGAATGACACAACCTAGGAAACATCCTTGGTTCAAAAATTATCCTTTTGAATTGTTGGCTTCAAAAAAACTTAAAGCTCCTTTTTTACCAATTCGTAAAGACAATTTTGATAAAGCATAAATTCTTATTGAAGATGAAGAGAATCATTAAATAATTAAACTGAATCAACATTTGATAAAAGATAATCAACATTTATTTGAAGATTATAGATGTTAATTAAATGAGAAGTCCAGAAGAAGTAGCATTACAAATAAGATGTTTTAATTATTTTGACTTTTTATCTATCAAACTTTTTTAAATTGAAAATAAATTGAAAAAATTGATGTAAAAAGTAAAAAAAAAAGTATTTTATAATTAAAATTATGTTTTAATCATATATAATTAATCGAAAATTGAAAACAGAGTTCAGTAAAGTCACTCAAACTGTGAGAATAACAAAGGAGCTACAAAGGTCAAATGAACATAAGAATTATTCTTTTGAATATCCTAGTACCTACGATTAACTTCCTAAAAAACTTAGATGTCAATCAACTTATTCAAAACTATGTGGCTTTAGATCTCATAAATACTAATTATTTCATGATATTATTTCTGAATTTGCAGAACACAAAAAGCAAAGATTAGCTAATGTTATCATATAAAATCTAAGTAATCACTCTTGTATCAAAGATAAACAGAAAAATCTAACCTACCATCCCAAGGTTCAGCTCGTAACATATTCTCAAAGAATGGACCTAATTTAAATCATAATTACAGTTAATTTATGAAAAAAGTCAAAGATTTCAAAATCTCTGAATAGAATGTCGTCACTTAAACTCCATAGTATTCATATATACATATTAATTAAGTTCAATATAAGAAAATATGACACTTACAAGATAACCTTCACTTGAATAGGTCCTTGACACCAAGTAAACTATTACTTTAAGTTGTTCAAGAAAACAAAGTCCAAAAATGCTGTTCAGTATTACACTACTTAATTTTTAGAACCTTAATAATTTATATTAAAATCAAAGTTCAAAAAAAACAATGCACTTGAGAAAATTTTGACTGAAGCCAGAAACCAAATCAAAACATCGTAATCTCCCAGATCTGTACACATAAGTTAACACAAAAAGACTAAATCTCAACCAATTAATGTTTATACTGAACAAAATAAACTCTTATAAAGAGTCATACTAAAAACTAAGCTGAATTAATGATTTATTATTATAATTTCAATAGTGTTTATAGTATAAATTGGAAAATAAAGTATTCTCTTGTTTTCTGTAAACATTTTATTTTTGTAGATTGTAATCATACTGTAAGTGTTGTTGTTTATTCGACTCTTTTAATCTCAACATTTTCGTTTCGAATTCATTATCTAATTGTCTTTACTTATAGTCTCGTTCCACTTGTTTAGGACTTGCAATTCTCCTATTGCAATTTGATTCATTTATTAAATCATTGAATACTTATCGCTCAAATGCTCCCAATTGTCTCAAAAATCCATTATTTGGAAAAATAATAGACCTTCTTTATTCAACATATTCTAGTGCTTCTCTTGCTCCTATCAATTCTTTTTTTATGAGATAAGCTAAAACAATAACTGCACTTCTAGATATCCCCATTTAGCAATGTACCAATACATTTGTTATTCTCCTAGATGCTTCAATAAATCTAAATGATTCATCAAAGTGTTTGCTTATTTAATAGCTATCTTCATCGTCAGCCATGCATTGATGGTAAAAGTTAAGCTTTATTTTTGTTGATGAGGGGATACTCTAAGGACAAACAGTCAAAATAGCTTTGATTTAATATTGAGATAAAGTATATGGATCACCTAAATTCATTTTTGAAAACTAATACTTGCAGCTTCCATGTTGCCTAAATAAAGTCCTCCAAGTATTTTTGAAGGTTCAATAATACAAGAAATAGGATCATCTCTTGAACTCTATAACTTTTTAAGTTGACTCATTGAGTAAATAAATTTTATTATTCAATAAAATAAATAAAAATATTCTGTATTTATATTGATGTCTTAAATATCCTCTATTAATATTTGAATCTATAAATCTCAATATTGAGTAATTTAAATATTTATGAATAATAGTTGCAATATCTTTGCTGTTAAATCTGAAAATATTGTAAATTGGATTTTCTTTATATTGTAATTAATCTCTTCTAATTTAACATCACATTCTTAAAACAATCAGGTAGAACTAATTAAAAATATATATATAAGAAAGAAAGGAGTATAAGAGATATATGGAAAAATCTAGACTTGTAAAATTAAGAGAATTATTTAGTCTTATAATTATTCTAAATAACAAAATAATATAATATATTTTGATGGATCGTAATCTATTCATATTATTAGAGAAAAGACGAGCTATAATAGTTAATCGATGAGTAAAATAAAGAGGAGTTTTCAGATGATTAGGATTTGGTGTCTCAAATAGATATTGAAGATTTTGAATCTCGATTGCAAACTAGTCAATCTTTCGTGAGAGAAAAGCCTCCATAATATAATACAAGAGCTTAATCAGGCATAACTTAAACTGGAAAACAACCATAAAGTTTAAAGGATCTGAATGAGAAAATGTAGTAAAATCTAGCCAAAAAATAAGTTAATCAATAAACAAGAGTCCAAGTAACATAGCGATCATAATAATAATAATAATTTTCACAAACTTAACATGTTCAGAAAAAGCAGGAGTATTAAAACATTTAAAATAATTAAGTAAGAGGAAATCTATAGAGCCTAAAGCAAATAATCCTCGTTAAGTGTTGGAATAGGCTCAAAAGGACAATTAGGAATTGTTGTAAAAATTAGGAGCTATGAGGAGGTAACTACAATCGTTAGAGGCTGAGAATTCTGAGTTAAAATTAGAAATTTAGAGAAAGGGCAATTCAAGTGGGTTTTTGCCAAAGATAGAATAAGCAGCAAATTCAGAATTGAAATTATTGAAAATGGAAAATGAGGAACTGAAGAGAATCATCTAAAAATAAAATGTACAAAAGTGAAACATTTTGTGTTAGGGTAGTGATTCAGGAAAAATGTTATAAATGTACGGTTTATAGGTAGTGAAATTAAAATGTAGAATAGAGGAGCTAACTTCATAACTAGAGAAATAGTGATATCATTAATATAAATAAATATAAAATTAAATAGAATGAGTATAAAAGTTATAAATTATGAGGTTGAAAATATGGGATGGTTATTTAAATATTAGGAAAATTAACTAAATATAGAGCAAAGAAGAAGTAATAGTGGACATTATGTTTGAGGATAGTAAACACATTTTGGAATTACAATTCTGGTGGGAAGAGATAATTAGTTTTAGATCGAAAAGTACTTTATGAAAACATGTAATTATAACTCTATATTTAGAATAATCACTTCCTCATTTTAGCATCCCTTTACTCTTGAAGGATTTGGATTAAATGTGATCTAATACATTTGAATTGAAAATTAATAATAAGGATTTCTCTCATATATTTAACCATAATAACTTAATTTGTTAAATTCAAGAGATAAAACAAGAGGGGCTTTCAAGAATGACCAAAATGAACCAAAAATAATCGTTTTATGCAACTTTCAGACAATAATCCTATTTTAAACAGTAACTTTCAAAAAAATCCAGAGTAGAATATTGATCAAAATCTAAAATTAGAAAAATAAACTTAAATATCGAATTTGAGAACCACAAAGATATCAATGGCTTTTATTAAAAACAACCTATTGCATAATATATGAAGTAAAAAAAATAATTTATTCTAGATTATCTACAATATTTGGATAGTGGAGTATTGAAGAATTTGAATCGTTTAGTAAAGTATAAATGACTATGAATCCATTTGAAAATTCCTTTTAGGTTTAAGGATTTTCTTCACCTATGATCACATAAACAGTTTAACAATAACAAAATATATTACTAAAATCAAATAGAAATTGACTTATTAAACATTGATGATGATATGCCGTCATAATAATAAAAAAACGTAGATGTAAATCCAAAATAATATTAAAATTCTTAATAAACTTAGTAACAAATTTATTTGAAAATTTTGCTAGTGGTTGGAATCAACAAGAGCCATACCTTTGCTAAAAAAACTTATTTAAATAATCAATTTAAATTTAATAGCCATTCAAGTACTTAATATTAATTATTCAATTATAGTTCGTTTAATTTAGATGGACAATTAGGAAAAATTGGATAAAGACTTCTTAACCATAATAAAATATAAACATCTTAAATTTATATGGGAATTCATAACCAGTTGTTGGAAATTTGGCTTATTTAACATTTCCTTAAATACATACTTCACCAATTCCTTAATCATAACTAACTCCCTAAGTTCTATTCAGATGAGATTATATTTTAAATTATTTTATTTATTCAAATTTAAAAAATGGAATTGTTAAATTATGCTGCCACTATAATTCAAAAAACATTCAGAGGTTTTCTTGCTAGATAATTTGTAAAATAAATAAGAAGAATAAACTATTTTTCATCATTTGGTATTGAAATTAAATGATATAGACCATCATAATGAATATGGGTTTTGCATTTAGCCATAAAGATCAAAATAATCTACTCGTAATACTCAATCACTAATTTAACCAACTAAAAGAATGATCAGAAGTAGTGTCTACATTTAAAAATGCTATCGAGGGTATTTAAGTAGAAAATACGTTTGCAATTTTTACAAACTGAAATAGATTGTGTTATTTTTAGAAGGACACATTCATAATTTCTTGAGGAAAGTAAAATGATTCTGATATTAGAGAATTTAATAAAGGAAAATCAATATAAAATAATTGATGGCATAATGTTACAATTTTCAAACTCAATGTAAATCAATAGCAAAAGGCAGATACCATTACAGTAAGTATATGAATCAGAAACAATTTGATGAAATAAATGGCATCATTTTTACATCCTTTTTGCATTTAATGATACCTAATTTTGAAAAACTTAATTCTGAATAGAAATCCCATTTTGTAGATCAAATCTTAGGAGTTGTTTAATCAAATCCCCCTAAAAAAACAATGCCAACTCAGATAAGTTCTAAGACTCCGTTGAAGTAGAGACATATAATTTAGAATGTCAGTGTTTTGTCTTCTGAAGTAATGACTAGTAATGGCAGTTGCACTTCTAGTCATAAATCAAAATCAAATCTAACAAATGAAGAGTTTAAATCAATTTTATAACGATAGAATAAAAAAATCAAATGATATAATATTTTATATAATTTTTGCTGACTCATTTAAACTTATTGAATACATATAGAATAAATTTTGATTGAAATTAGTAATGATAAAGATATCATCATTAATCATTCTAAATAGATAAATTCTGCTCTACAGAAAGGGCAAATTGATTAGTATTGGATCCAGTTTTGGATGCAATACTGATGGAAGAAATGTTTAGAATTACAAGGTAGGATGTATACAATTTCACCTTTTTAATACTCATTGAGGCAAATAGCACATTGGGAACTTGATTGATCGAAGGAACTTGGATTATATGGCTTAATGTGTTTTTTTCTTCTGCAATAAGTTAGAATGGATTTTGGAATTTAGTAAAATGGAAAGGTGATTAATGCAATGAGATCAAAGCCTGTGATGAAGGATGTTATAGCGATCAATGTCAAATATTGCCATTAATAAATGTGGTTATTATCGAAGTAAAATATTGTTAATACAATGGCTGCCAACCAAAAAAACATGGGGATGAAAAAGAAATAGTTTGAATACATCTAAAATAGTATAAATTATTTACATGAATTCGAAAAAAGTACCCTAATTTGAATTGTATTTGGAAATCAATCTAGTATATTGTATACCTGTAATCTCTATTTAGGGGAAATAATTTTACAATAATGCATATCAACTTCATCACGCCATTCATAATTTACAATCTGTTATTAGTTTAAATATTCAGCACACTTATTTAAGTTATTCTATAGGTTGAAATATAAAAATACTTTGTTTTTCATAGCCCATCTCCATCGTAAATACACTATTATTTAAATAAGGTTTTGTGCAGCCACAATAATGGGCACATAATCTTCTTTGATTTGATAATTGTTCTCTGAGATATAACAAACTCCAAGTAAGGTCGAGAGGATCAAAAAAAAGAATTAGAGGAATGTCCATCTTTTCCAATACAAGATGTGTCGCTGGAAATGCAAAGTTGTTCCTACATGTTGTCCTTATTCAGGAACTAATGGTTGATTCATTACAAATTATAATTAATAGTTTCTTAAATTTACAATATCAAATTAGAATAAGTTTAATTAAATGTTAACAATTATTTAATATATAAAAGTTCTTAAACTCACTTCTTTTTTCCAACAGTCTTAGCTAACCAATCCAAACCATCATATAATCCATCTCCAGTCAATGCACAGGTACCTTGAATGAACCATTCTCTTCTAAGTGTGTGTAAGCCCAATTTCTCAGTGATTTCTGGGACTGTCATAACACCCATATCTTGTTTATTGGCAAAGACCAACAAGACAGCATCTCTGAGTTCATCTTCACCCAACATTCTCATCAATTCTTCTCTTGCAACATCTACTCTCTCTTTATCGGATGAATCAACAACGAAAATCAGACCTTATGTGTTTTGATAGTAATGTCTCCATAAGAGTCTGATTTTATCTTAACCTCCAACATCCCACACTGTGAATTTGATATTCTTGTATTCCACAGTCTCCACATTGAAACCAATTGTTGGGACTGAGCTCACAACTTCTCCCAATTTCAATTTGTACAATATTGTTGTTTTACCTGCTGCATCCAAACCCAGCATTAGAATTCTCATTTCCTTCTTTCCGAACCATTGTTCGAACAATTTAGAGAATGAAAGACCCATTTATTTCTTAAGTTAATAATACAATCATTAAGAAGGAATCAAAATTTAAATTTGCAAATTTTCCTTGTCAGAAAAAATCACTAATCACTATTTATAGAAGTTAATTTATAAATAATTCTATTGAATTAATTTAAAACAATAGAATAATAATTCGTAAATAAATATAAATAATTTTTATATTCATTGTATATAATTTTATAATGTTTAAAGTACAAAAATCGAATGAAATTTATGAAAAGGACGAATTAGAAGTTAGAATTAAATATTCATAAAGATCTTGGATTTCTATTTTTCAAGATATAGTTTGTTTAATAATATGAAGTTTTTCTACTATATCAATCATCTAAATTAGTCAATATGATATGATGTTAATCAGAAACAGTAACAAATTTAGGTACTACATAATATTGGTTGGATAGAGCAACTTTATGCATTAGAAAATTTTGATAATCTGCATGCTTTTAAGAGACTTAAGTTAATTCAGGATGAGAGATTGAGATAATTATTAAATTTAATACATGATAAAACGGATTAGATGCTTTAATAGACAAAACCTATGAAGTTCTTTTTAGGTTCAAATTTTATTAATATATTCGTTGTTTGGTATTTGGCCCTCCGATTTAGTTTATAGAATTATTATTGTAAAAATTTAGCTAAGTTTTATGATTAATTTTAGAATATATGGGTATTTGAGTAAAGTTTGATATAATTATTTTAATTGGTTATCAGTTCAAACTTTATTTTTACATTCATCCACAAAGCTAATTACAAGGAGGATAATGAAATTGAATTCTTTAGAATTTTTATTATAATTTTATTTTATTTAAAATTGTAGGATATGAATAATACATAACTAATTGAACTTTTACTGCATTTTTTATCCTTTTAAATTTGTGCTGATCTAAAATTTTTAATCTTAGTTGTAGGTCATTAATGGGAACAGACCATCAACTCTATATTTGGGTAAAGTAGTATTCATCATCAATAACAAAAGTGCTAGAATAGACTTTGAAGTAAGTGAAAAATTAAATATTTAAACGCCACGTCATGGTTGATTTAAATGTTGGGAGAGATGAACGAATTCAATTAATAAAATAATTTTACAACTACAATAAAGATTTAAATCATCCTAGAAATATATTAGTAGAATTATACATTATAATGATGATGAATCTAAATGATGAATCTTTTAAGAGCTCTGCCTTTTTTATTTAGATCCTTGTTTTTATTTCGATACTTAAACACAATTATCGCATTAATGATGCTAACTAGCAAAGATTTGAAAAGAAAAACCTTTTTTTTAAGACACAGTTAGTATACTTGATAAAAGCGAAAGAATTGAAGTTTGCTAGGAATCCAAGATCTTTCCAACTATTAATTTTTTATGCACAATTTCTATATATTCTTGGGCTAATTCGATAAAGATTATGGATTGCAATATCCTAAAAAAGAAATTCTATATCATTCATCGAGTTAATCAACACTATAAAAACAAGGGTGATGAAAATTCTCTTTTAATTTGAATTAATCCCAAAAAAATTGTATATCGATTGACAATAGATTTCTCTAATTTCCACATTCTGATTAGGATAGTATTATAAGTAACAAAGTTTAAAGCACTATTGTGTATTTTATTGATAAAGAATCACTTTATAAGTAAATAATTGGCCTCTCAGGTTTTTATTTTGGATAGCTTTTCTAAAGTAGAAGATCCCATTTTTAACTTAGTTATTTCAAAATTGTTGAATACAACTAATTCAAAGGTTGAGATAAAAGAATTCTCTATATAATTATTCAATAGTTTCTTTATTAATTCAATATGATGTGGTAATTTGATTTTAGTATTCAGTTTGATGGTTTATGACATTAAGAAAATCTTAACCACATACAGTAACGGGTAAGTTTGCATGAGTTCATTAGAATTCATCAGAGCATTAGGATTAAATTTCATCCTTTACATTACTAAATGATTATAAATATATTAATATAAAATGTTGGATGACTAAATACCAGAAGAACTCTTTAATGAGTAAATTAGCATCGCTCCTTCTTTGTATACCCATAGTTCCATAATTTAAGATATACAAAACAAGATGATTCAATCAAGTTCTAAAATCCAAAATGATCCAGTCATTCTTAAGACTTCATTGACAAATGATATATTTAAGGAAGATTAATTGGACATTTCCTAATTCGATCCAAATAATCCTAAATATAAAAGCAAACCACATGAGGTCCATTTTCATGTAAATTCCTTTATAAAATATACTCTATTCACTTTAATATACACATTAATTGGACCTTTGGTTATTCCAATTTTTATTTGGACTCATAAGCAATTACTTTAAAACTTTCAACTATTGGGATTTAACTGGGTATGTCTATTTACTTATCTTCGATATTTTTTAGACTTGACTTTAGCAATAGGTTTTATTTATCATCCCATGAATTAATTTTAGCTCCAATGTATTAATTATTATTTTATTTTCAATAGTGCTCCTTTATTATGTAATCCAAATTTTTTCAGAATTAGTTCTTTAAAACTTAATGTTGGCCTTTTACCATCCTTAGAAGATAGAATTGTTAGAAAAATTTCCAATCGAACTTATACTGAATAAATTTGAAAATCAAATTAATCCATTTCGATGGGGCTAATAAAGTCCAGAATTAATTTAATTTGAGTTGGAGCAATCTATAAGAAGGTTGCATATTGAACCTGGTTTATTCATTTTCTTCTTTATAGTTTAACCAAATGAAAAAAGAAGGGAAAAGATTTCTCATAACTTTGAAAACTTGAAAGTGGAAGGGAAGTATGCTGGAAACGGTATCAAAATGGCAATTGAAATTATCCAATATTACAATGAATAGTCCCCCTTATATATTTACATTATAGTTGCTTGTGCTTTGACTATCATTAGATTATGCATCACAGTGACATATTCATTTTTTTAAAAAGCAGCTTCAATATAGATTGCAATGTTTGTTGCAATCACTGTTCTAAACACCATTGGATACTTTATCGTAATTACAATCATTTTGATAACTTTCCGAGATTTACAAAGGAAGGTGTTTTGCTTGAATTAACTCTCACATTTAATTTCTGCTTAACAAGTTGAAGAATATGATGAGACCAAAATATTCCCTACATTAAATTTCTTATGTGTGCAATCCTTATTTTCATGGTAGAATTTAAGAAAGGTGATCCTAGATTATGGTTTATAGTACTATTAAAGAGAAAATGCAATCATTTCATTTTGCTTAGAAATCATTTTGGTTTTAGTTCTATTTGCTCTTCTAAATATGTTCGATGTGATAAGTTGTTACTCCTTAAGTGACGCCAGTAAAATTTCATTGTTCATATTGATTAGCTTTGATGTACTTACTATTATGTTCTTATCTATTCTTGTTGTCTTGTAGGGTGCCCGTATCAATAAACATTTTAAAATTCATTAAACCATGTTAAAGAAGAACATGTTTACTTATCAACAACTTTCAACATAATCATTCATAAAGAAAGAATTTCATGTGCAACCCTAAGATTTTATGTTTAAAACTCTTAAAGCTATCTTAGATAGAATACAACTGGGAGATTAAAATAAAAACTGGTTTTTCTTGTATTCTTAATATGTTTTGAATGCAATTGATTAAGCCTATTCAGATTTATGTTATGAGGAGGAGAATAGACCCTTTACTGTTTTGGGAATAGCTATGACCTATAGTTTAGCTTTTTAACTAATAGCAAGTTTTTTAGGTATCTTGGGAACAATCATCATAAGTTTATACTTCAATGTTGATCTATGAAAATGTATTTAATTATTAATAATTTATTCTCTTCAGAAATTAAAACTCTTATACTTTCGTAAATCATCTATTGATAAAATTATTATACTATTCTTATCTTTTTTAAACGAGATGTTGAAAAAGAAATCTTTGAATATCCATCTTTTTAGATTTTTCAATTCTTGATATTGAAAATATTTTTATAGATCTTTGAAATAATTAAGGAATATTGAGAACATTATGAAGTATATGATGAATGAATAAGTGGATGACACAATTACAATAGGAATACATTGAGAGGAAGAATATATTATTGATGAATTTGGAAGAATAAATATACAAAATTAATTAATTACACGTTAAAGAATTTCTAGAAGAATTTTCTTTGTATATAAATTGATTATACACATCATTTGGAAATAATATATAATGAAAAAATTGTTACTTGCCTTGCTCCTTGTTTCTGTAACAATATGCGAAAGCTCAGTCCAATGCCCAGTTATTGGTATTGACTTGGGTACAACTTACTCATGTGTTGGAGTGTTTAGATAAGGACATGTTGAGATCATTCCAAATGAATTAGGAAATAGAATCACACCTTCAGTTGTCTCTTTCACAGATTAAGAAAGATTAATTGGTGAGGCTGCCAAAAACTAAGCCGCCACCAATCCTAGCAGAACACTTTATGATGTCAAAAGATTGATAGGAAGAAAGTATATATCAAAATGAATATCCAAGATTCTCTGATTCTACAATTCAATATGATAAGAAGTTTTTGCCATTTGAAATTATTGATAGGGATGGAAAGCCTTATATATAAGTAGAGAAGGGTACATAATCAAAAGTATTTGCTCCTGAGGAAGTGAGTGCAATGGTGTTGTCTAAAATGAAGGAAATTGCTGAGGGTTACTTGGGCCAAAATGTTATCAATGCAGTTGTGACCGTTCCAGCATATTTTAATGATGCTCAAAGATAAGCCACAAAAGATGCAGGAAATATTGCAGGTTTGAATGTAGTTAGAATTTTGAATGAACCAACTGCTGCAGCTATCGCATATGGTTTGGATTCAAAGTAGGTTGAATCAAATATTTTGGTTTTCGATTTGGGAGGTGGTACTTTTGATGTTTCCATTCTAACTATTGATAATCAAGTTTTTGAAGTCATTTCCACTTCAGGAGATACACATTTGGGAGGTGAAGATTTTGATTAAAGATTGATTGATCACTTTATAAAGTTAGTGTAAAAGAAATATGGAAAGGATGTCTCAGGAGATAAGAGAGCTATCTAAAAATTAAAGAGAGAATGTGAAAAAGCTAAGAGAAGACTCTCTGCTGCCTAAGAAGCTAAGGTAGAAATTGAAGATTTAGTCGAAGGATTGGATTTCAGCGAAGTTTTGACAAGAGCAAAATTCGAAGAATTAAACAGTGATTTATTTAGAAAGACTATTGAACCAATGTAGACAGCTTTGAATGACTCAGGATTGAAGAAAAGCTAAATCGATGAAATCGTTCTTGTTGGTGGTTCATCTCGTATACCAAAGGTGAGATAACTAGTGAAAGAGTTTTTTGAAGGCAAAGATCCTAATACAGGTATCAATCCAGATGAAGCCATTTGTTATGGTGCAGCCATTTAAGGAGGTTTAATTTGTGGAGAGAAATCTGATGCAACTGATGGTTTGGTTGTTATTGATGCTACACCTTTGAGTTTGGGTATTGAAACTGTTGGAGGAGTCATGAATAAGATCATTCCAAAGGGATCCTTCATTCCAACCAAAAAGTCTTAAGTATTCACAACTTATGTTGACAATCAAACAACAGTAACAATTACTGTTTTCGAAGGAGAAAGACCTTTGGTTAAAGACAATCATAAGTTGGGTTAATTTGATTTAACTGATATTCCAAAAATGCCAAAAGGATAACCTTAAATTGAAGTTACTTTCGAAATTGATGAAGATGGTATTTTATCTGTATCTGCCTCTGAATAATCAACAGGAAAAAAGAATCAGATTTAAATCACTGCGGATAACAAATTAACCAAAGAGGAAATAGATAGAATGATCAAAGAAGCTGAATAATTTGCTGAAGAAGATAAAATTGCTAAAGAGAAGATTGATGCCAAGAATAGTTTGGATTCTTACATTTATTCCATCAAAAACTAAATTGAAGATGAGGTATTTCTTATTTATTATCATTTTAGAAAAAATTAGCCAAACACTTAACAGAAGAATAAAAACAAACCTTGAAAGATGCTGTTCAAAAGAGTGAAGAATGGATTAAAAAAGATGAAGCAAATTATGATAAAGAAGATTTCGAAGGAGAATTGAAAGATTTATAAAAGTAATTGATTTGTTCTAACAATGTAGAGTTTGTGATCCAATTATTCAAGAAGCCTAAAAGAAGAAAGATGAAAATAAAGAGAATGAAGATGATGCTGATGCTGATGATACAAAAACTGATTTATGATTTAATTTGTGCAATATTTTATTTTAATGAAAGTTGTATTTCAAATTTGCATAATTTCCTTACTATTGACTACCTGCTATGCATTCAATATTCATTAATACGCTACTATGTTACCTGGTCTCAAATTACCTCCAAATACCAAAACTAGGGTGTTGATCATTGATACTTTTGAAGACTTTTTATGGGCCAATCTTTATGTAGGGTATTATCAACAATATTTCAAATTAGCCTTTTCTACTACTTTTCATATTTGGCTACAGGAGCTGCTCTAGAATTCACTAACCCAATACCAAAATCATCTTTCAGAATGAAAAACATGAAACTTGAAATAAGTAGAGGAGTCTAAGCCTTATTTTGGGTTTTACTGTCAGCAACCATATTCATGTGGAAAATCGAACCACTAACACCATATTATGGTTATTATGAAACACATGATTTTGGATTAAAAGAATGGCTCATTGGACTTTTTGTGTATCTTTTTCATACTATATCATAAGATATTCCATTGGATTCGATTTCTACTTTTATGTCACTCATATCATACTTCACCAACCATTCTTTTGGAAATACATTCACAAATAACATCATGAATTTATTGAACCTACTGCATTTGCATAAGATGCAGTCCACCCAATTGAAGCTATCGTATAAGGCCCTTTAGGGCATTTCTTCCCATGTCTTTTCTATCCAATCCCTCCAGTTTGGCATCAGTATATTAAATAATGCTACAATTAGCTTTTTTGGTTTTTTGACTGCTATTTATGCCCAAGCTGCTCATGATGGAAGATGGGATCCTTTTGGACATATCAATCACCATTTTTATGTCACCTGCAATTACGGAATATGGGGTGTATGTGATAGAATATTTTAAACCAATCATTCCTCATCAAGATTCCCTGTCAGATATGTTCCAAGTTGGGAGAAGGATGCAAAAAAAATTAAATGATCATCTTAAATAATTCAGAAATAAATCAACATTCCTTTAATCCACTCATATTTATCAATTGTATTGTTCCTATAGGATATTCTTAATCTTTATTCATAGTGTTGTAAGTGATGTCTACCTCATTTGACAAATACCCATCCTTCTAAAACATAAATATTCCATTAAACTACCCATTAATCAATGGATTCTCAGCATACAAATTGAAATAGCCTTCTTTATCACTCGATGTAGAATTTATTAATTATTTCGATGTGAATTCGATATAATATAATATCTTTACACCCTCTATTGAATCTGATTATTGATTTGTACATGATAAACTTTGCATTTCTAAAACTCTACCAGTGAATTTTGTACTTGATAATACCTTCTGCTTTATCTCTTGAGGACTGAAATTTAAATCAGTTGTCAAATTAGCCTTCTCTTTCACTTTAATAACCGAAAACAATATTCCACAATTTGGATTCATTACCATTATACCACATGTGTACTCAAATCCATCTTTAAAAGCCTTATCTAATTAAATAAAATTGATGTCCTTTTATGTCATAAATTAATCCTTGTATTCGCAACCACATGAAAATGAAATTTACATTGCAATTGAATTCTAAACCTTAGTCTAATTTTATTGGCAATTTCTGTTGATATTAACTTACAAATTAACAATATAATAATTGGGATTCATGTAAATTTATCCAAGGTCTGCAATATATTAATCAAATAGTTAAACAACAAATAATTATTCAAAGTAACCCTACAAATTGATTGATATTGATGCTTGATATATCAACAATTTCATTAATTTATTTTAAGCCAAAAAACAACCATCCTTTCCTGTTTTAATTTCTTATATATCCAAAAGAGTAGGTTAATCATAAATAATGCTTACAATTGTATCAGAAACTGATTATAAATTATCCCTTTTTATTACACAACCTGTAATACTTGTTTACACACTTTCTTTATTATCCAATAATATTCTTCCCAAATTGATTGGGCAATTTAATCTGTTTATTTCCATTTACATTGTGAATTAATTTGCAATATTAAAACTTAGCTCTCCTTGTACTTAATTTGATTCTATTTCTAATTCAAATTCTCCTTATTTATTACTAATAGTTTGACTTTATTTGAATGAAACAATCACATTATTTGCAGGAAAAGATTTACGTGTGTATAAAATCCCAGATATTTTGCATCCATCTGATTTTGAAACTAATAAATAAATCAATATTTTATATATAAACATCATATGTTACATTAATTAATTTATTTATTTTACAAATAATTTTTAGACATTTAGTATTATATTTGAGAACATTAGATAATTTTTTATATCTCTCTTCAAGCGACATATTCTATTTTTTAAACATTAGATATTTTTAATTGAGCTTTCAGATTGCTACATTTACAAGGATATATATGCTTGATATCTTTAATCAATGCAAGTGATTTATCCTCAAGTTCTTAATCATAAATCATTTTTTATGTGGTTATCTGACAGTGCTTGTATAAAAGAGGATCTTCTTATAAGATTTTGAATATGATCAGTTGAGTGGAAGATAAATTTTGCTTTTTTGATTCTGCTTTGCCTACTTAGTGAAATCAATTCTAAATGATAAATTATTTAGAAATACAATGTAATTTATTATTTTTACTTTTTCAAATATAGTAGGTAGATTACCTTAAACAAATAATTATCAGAACTTTTCAAGGCATATACATATCGTGGGCCAGAAAAAAAGATGCTTATGATATCAAGATGTGCATTTCAGATTTTATAATCAATTGACTCAGTTATGAACAATGATGCCGGCTTTCAAGAATAGTAATGATCATTTATAACAACAAATTAGTGTCTTTACAACTAGGAAATAAACTTTTTTCTGCATGATTATTTTCTGATTTGACATCTAAGTCTAATATGCATAAATATGATGGAAGAGAAAGAAATCAAAAATAATCATAACTTTGCTTGACATTTATTGTGAAACAAAAAGTTTTCATAAATTGAAAATGTCAAATTTTATACACTTGATAACTTAGGTTGATTTATGTTAACAATATCTGTATAAAATATAGATTTACAAATGTTCATAGTAGCTGGACACATTGGCATAGCTCATTAAATTCAAATTCCAAAGAGAAAATCATTACATAATCTAGCTCTACTAATTTTCCAATTTGAATTAACAATTTAATTGAGTTGACAATACATTTAAGGTTTTCATAAAATTTTCAAGGTTATGAAATAGTCAAATGATGATAGATATCTTTGATCGCAAAATTAACCCTTTAACGAGTTTATAATAAATAAATAATAATCATTCAAATAGTTAATAATGCATAATAATAATTTCTCTTTAAAAATATTTATAAAAAGTAATTATTAAAGTCAATGAAAAATTAAAATTTTTAAATAATCAAAGAATGATATTTTTTCATTAAGAAAATATACACATACATACATGGACATATTGATAGGATTCATTGTTTTCCTATTTTTTTATTCAGTTTGTCAATAGATTTCTCATTCAATTAATTTAAGATTGAATGGGATTGATTCATTTGTAAAGAATACTAAATTATTTTAACACCATCAATTATGAAGTATTCAAATGTGGAACAATACCATCATTGATTCCTTTTTTCTTTTTTATCAATTTGGTCAATAGATTTGGTTTAAATTATTTAATAATCTTTGATAATTGATTAATATTAATCTTAATGTAAATTTGACTGGTTGATGAGTTCATCATAGAATTCAGTTTAAAGCTAAGAAGTGATGTGGGATATTTTTATCTTGATATAAATTACTGATTAAAATCATTTTGAAGGTAACAGTGATTATACATTATGTCAGGAATTTATGAATGTTTAATATTTAAAGATATTCAAAGTGTTGTTGAAAGTTTCTTTGAATGTAGCATTAAGTCAATAATCATCAGTAATAAGATAAGTGGAAATGTTATTTCTTCTAATTATAATTTAGGGTAGATATAAATATATCCTTAAGTCTTAATCCTTTTTGGCATATAATACTTATTGATCATTAATTTATCTTTACAATATTTTATATATACTTTTATATCTAAATATAAATAATAAAAGGTATTATTAAATTTAATAGTTTTAACTTTTTTATAGTTTAAATTAATTCAAGGATAAACTTTATTTTTTTTAATTATTGACATATCTTTTAATTATTTTTGTTATTAAATATACCTTTACATTTATGAACAAAAAATAACTTTTAAACTATTAATTATAACTTTTAATACCTATCCCTTTTATAAATAATACTAAATTAAGCAAACCTATCATAATATCCTAGATGATTTAAAAGAATGACTTGTGTTAATTTACTTTTAATTTTCCTTGAATAATTATTACGTCTTTGTTGTGCTAAGTGTTGTCTGTTAATATATCTCAAGTATTTCTTTAATTTTAGTATCATTTAGCTTTAAATCTCTATAGATATTAATTAATAACAGCTTTTCAGGCACATCATTAAATATTCCCTACATTAAATAAATGGAAAACCCTTGTAAAAACTTTTACTTATCTATCTTAAGTAGTAAAGATGAAGAGCGGAACTGATAAAGACTTAGTTAAAAAATATAAGAAATTTATTGTTGTATTTATGTTGATAACTATCAAATTAAATTTTACGATAAGCTTTCCAAGAAATAACTTCCTTTTTGTTGCAATAATGTTTTTAAATCGATGCCTGACTGATTTATAAACTCTCCATTCAGTATTAAAGCTCCTTTAGATTAAAATATTGACTTTTAGGATATAAGGAGTGTAGTTATATAATTAGAGACTAAAAATATAGAAAATATAATACTACCTTCTGAATTAAGGGTAATTTACTGTAGTGGAGTCTTAATATTTATGAACATATTATTGTAAATTTTATCATAGGAATTCATTTCTTATTCTCTCTTTATTTCCCATAGACGAATTTCCATATCATCACTACATGATGCTAATGTATTTCCATCAGGTGAGAAACAGACTGAGTAGACATCACTAGTATGACCATCAAATTTAGCTTGAAATTAACCTGTTTTGACATCCCATAGACGGATAGAGTAATCACCACTACCAGAAGTTAATGTATTTCCATCGGGAGAGAAACAANTACATTATGTCAGGAATTTATGAATGTTTAATATTTAAAGATATTCAAAGTGTTGTTGAAAGTTTCTTTGAATGTAGCATTAAGTCAATAATCATCAGTAATAAGATAAGTGGAAATGTTATTTCTTCTAATTATAATTTAGGGTAGATATAAATATATCCTTAAGTCTTAATCCTTTTTGGCATATAATACTTATTGATCATTAATTTATCTTTACAATATTTTATATATACTTTTATATCTAAATATAAATAATAAAAGGTATTATTAAATTTAATAGTTTTAACTTTTTTATAGTTTAAATTAATTCAAGGATAAACTTTATTTTTTTTAATTATTGACATATCTTTTAATTATTTTTGTTATTAAATATACCTTTACATTTATGAACAAAAAATAACTTTTAAACTATTAATTATAACTTTTAATACCTATCCCTTTTATAAATAATACTAAATTAAGCAAACCTATCATAATATCCTAGATGATTTAAAAGAATGACTTGTGTTAATTTACTTTTAATTTTCCTTGAATAATTATTACGTCTTTGTTGTGCTAAGTGTTGTCTGTTAATATATCTCAAGTATTTCTTTAATTTTAGTATCATTTAGCTTTAAATCTCTATAGATATTAATTAATAACAGCTTTTCAGGCACATCATTAAATATTCCCTACATTAAATAAATGGAAAACCCTTGTAAAAACTTTTACTTATCTATCTTAAGTAGTAAAGATGAAGAGCGGAACTGATAAAGACTTAGTTAAAAAATATAAGAAATTTATTGTTGTATTTATGTTGATAACTATCAAATTAAATTTTACGATAAGCTTTCCAAGAAATAACTTCCTTTTTGTTGCAATAATGTTTTTAAATCGATGCCTGACTGATTTATAAACTCTCCATTCAGTATTAAAGCTCCTTTAGATTAAAATATTGACTTTTAGGATATAAGGAGTGTAGTTATATAATTAGAGACTAAAAATATAGAAAATATAATACTACCTTCTGAATTAAGGGTAATTTACTGTAGTGGAGTCTTAATATTTATGAACATATTATTGTAAATTTTATCATAGGAATTCATTTCTTATTCTCTCTTTATTTCCCATAGACGAATTTCCATATCATCACTACATGATGCTAATGTATTTCCATCAGGTGAGAAACAGACTGAGTAGACATCACTAGTATGACCATCAAATTTAGCTTGAAATTAACCTGTTTTGACATCCCATAGACGGATAGAGTAATCACCACTACCAGAAGTTAATGTATTTCCATCGGGAGAGAAACAAACTGAGTAGACAGTGCTAGCATGACCATCTAAATAAGCTTTTTATTAAGCTGTTTTTACATCCCATAGACGGATAGACTTGTCAGAACTGCCTGAAGCTAATATATTTCCATCAGGAGAGAAACAGATTGAATAGACAGAGTTGGTATGACCATCTAATTTAGCTTTTTATTATCGTGTTTTAACTTCCCATAGACGAATAGATTAATCATCACTACCTGAAGCTAATGTATTTCCATCAGGAGAGAAACAGACTGAGTAGACAGTGTTTGTATGACCATCTAATTTAGCTTTTTATTATCCTGTTTTGACATCCCATAGACGGATAGACTTATCTTTACTACTAGATGCTAATGTATTTCTATCAGAAGAGAAACAGACCGACATTACCCAATTCTCATGACCATCCAATTTTGCTTTTTGTAATCCTGTTTAGAAATCCCATAGACGGATAGAAAAATCACCACTACCTGAAGCTAATGTATTTCCATCAGGTGAAAAACAGGCTGAATAGACATATCCAGTATGGCCATCTAATTAAGCTTTTTATTATCCTGTTCTAACCTCCCATAAACGAATAGACTTATCTTTACTACTAGATGCTAATGTATTACCATCAGGAGAGAATTAGATTGAGTAGACACTGCTAGAATGACAATCTAATTTAGTCTTTTTTATCATATTCTTCACATCCCATAGACGGATAGAGTAATCACAACTACCAGAAGCTAATTTATTTCCATCAGGTGAGAAACAGACTGAGTTGACAATGCTAGCATGACCATCTAATTTGGCTTTTTATTATCCTGTTGTGACATCCCAAAGACGGATAGAGTAATCATAACTACCAGAAGCTAATGTATTTCCATCAGGAGAGAAACAAACTGAATAGACAGTGCTAACATGACCATCTAATTTGGCTTTAAATTAGTGTGTTTTGACATTCCATAATCGGATGGACTTATCATGGCTACAAGAAGCTAATGTATTTCCATCAGGGGAGAAAGAGACTGAAAAAACAGTACTAGCATGACCAACTATTTTTGCTTTAAATTATTGTGTTTTGACATTCCATAGTCGGATGGACTTATCATTACTACAAGAAGCTAATGTATTTCCATCAGGGGAGAAACAGACTGAAAAAACAGTGCTTGCATGACCATCTAATTTTGCTTTAAATTATTGTGTTTTGACATTCCATAGTCGGATGGACTTATCATTACTACAAGAAGCTAATGTATTTCCATCAGGAGAGAAACAGACTGAGTAGACATATCCACTATGACCATCTAATTTGGCTTTTTATTATCCTGTTTTGACATCCCATAGACGGATAGACTAATCATAACTACCAGAAGCTAATGTATTTCCATCAGGAGAGAAACAAACTGAATAGACAGTGCTAACATGACCATCTAATTTGGCTTTAAATTAGTGTGTTTTGACATTCCATAATCGGATGGACTTATCATGGCTACAAGAAGCTAATGTATTTCCATCAGGGGAGAAAGAGACTGAAAAAACAGTACTAGCATGACCAACTATTTTTGCTTTAAATTATTGTGTTTTGACATTCCATAGTCGGATGGACTTATCATTACTACAAGAAGCTAATGTATTTCCATCAGGGGAGAAACAGACTGAAAAAACAGTGCTTGCATGACCATCTAATTTTGCTTTAAATTATTGTGTTTTGACATTCCATAGTCGGATGGACTTATCATTACTACAAGAAGCTAATGTATTTCCATCAGGAGAAAAACAAACTGAGTAGACAGTGCTAGCATGACCATCTAATTAAGCTTTTTATTATACTGATTTAACATCCCATAGACGAATAGACTTGTCAGAACTACCTGAAGCTAATGTATTTCCATCAGGAGAGAAACAAACTGAATAGACAGTGCTAGCATGACCATCGAATTAAGCTTTTTGGTATCCTGTTTTGATATCCCATAAAAGGATAAATTTATCATCACTACCCGAAGCTAATGTATTACCATCCGGAGAGAAGCAAACTGAGTATCCAGTGCTAGTATGAATATCTAATTTGGTATTTTTTAACTTAGTCTCCAAATTCCATAAACGAATAGAGTTATCTTTACTACAAGATGTTAATGTTTTTCCATCAGGTGAGAAACAGACTGAGTAGACATAACTAGTATGACCATCAAATTTAGCTTGAAATTATCCTGTTTTGACATCCCATAGACGGATAGAGTAATCACCACTACAAGAAGTTAATGTATTTCCATTGGGAGAGAAACAAACTGAGTAGACAGTGCTAGCATGACCATCTAAATAAGCTTTTTATTGCGCTGCTTTTACATCCCATAGACGGATAGACTTGTCAGAACTACCAGAAGCTAATATATTTCCATCAGGAGAGAAACAGACAGAATAGACAGAGTTTGTATGACCATCTAATTTAGTTTTTTATTATCCTGTTTTGAGATCCCATAAACGGATACAATTATCAGCACTACCAGAAGCTAATGTATCACCATCAGGAGAGAAATAGACTGAGTAAACATAATCACTATGACCATCAAATTAAGCTTTTTATTATCCTGTTTGAACATCCCATAGACGGATCGACCTATCATTACTACCAGAAGCTAATGTAGATCCATCAAGAGAGAAACAGACTGAGTAAACAGGGCTAGCATGACCATCTATTTAAGCTTTTTAATCTCCTGTTTCAACATCCCATAAACGGATAGACTTGTCAGAGCTACCAGAAGCTAATATATTTCCATCAGGAGAGAAACAAACTGAATAGACAGAGTTTGTATGACCAATTAATTTAGCTTTTTATTATCCTGTTTTGAAATCCCATAGACGGATAGACTTGTCAGAACTACCTGAAGCTAATGCATTACCATCAGGAGAGAAGCAAACTGAATATGCAGTGCTAGTATGACCATCTAATTTGGGTTTTTTTATCTTAGTCCACACATCCCATAAACGGATAGAGTTATCAAAACTACCAGAAGCTAATAAATTTCCATCAGGTGAGAAACTAACTGAGTTGACTTAGTTAGTATGACCATCCATTTAAGCCTTTTAATCTCCTGTTTCAACATCCCATAAACGGATAGACTTGTCAGAACTACCAGAAGCTAATATATTTCCATCAGGAGAGAAACAGACTGAATAGACAGAGTTTGTATGACCAATTAATTTAGCTTTTTATTATCCTGTTTTGACATCCCATAGACGGATAGACTTATCATGACTACCAGAAGCTAATGTATCACCATCAGGAGAGAAATAGACTGAGTAAACATAATCACTATGACCATCAAATTAAGCTTTTTAATTTCCTGTTTTAACTTCCCATAGACGAATAGATTAATCATCACTACCTGAAGCTAATGTATTTCCATCAGGAGAGAAACAGACTGAATAGACAGAGTTTGTATGACCAATTAATTTAGCTTTTTATTATCCTGTTTTGACATCCCATAGACGGATAGACTTATCATGACTACCAGAAGCTAATGTATCACCATCAGGAGAGAAATAGACTGAGTAAACATATCCACTATGACCATCTAATTTGGCTCTTTTTTTCTTAGTCCAAACATCCCATAAAAGGATATATTTATCTTTACTCCCAGAAGCTAATAGAGTTCCATCAGGTGAGAAACTAACTGAGTCGACATTGTTAGTATGACCATCTAGTTTGGCTTTTTATTAGCCTGTTTTGACATCCCATAGACGGATAGAATTATCAATGCTTAAATAAAAAGATCTTCCACCGCAAGTAACTACTGTAGTACCATCAGGAGAGAAGCACACTAAATTCACACCATCATTATGGCCATCTAATTTACTCAATTCATTGATCTTAATATTCCTCCATTCACAGTTAAATAATAACGCACCATTCAAATTCATATTACTTATATTTACATTATTAAATTAAGATCTACTTAAATTGCATCGAAAAAAATTTGCTCCTTTTAAGGAAGTATTTTGTATCTTAATATTTTCAAAATTTTTTTTTCTAAGGTCTATCTTCATCTTAATTAATATATGTAATGAATTAGACCCACATTATATGAAAGTTTTATCTATTGATGTGAGGTGAACTAAAAATAACAAAAAATCTCTGATCCATCTATTATCCTTTATGCTGTTAATTAGATCCTGCATAGATTCTTCTGTTGAATAGTCTTTCTTATTAAATTAATGATTTTTTATTTATTTGAGAATATTTTTAATTTTCATCATACTTTTTTTTACAACATCTAATTTCCACCACATATCAAAAAGTTATAGATTTTCATCTTTAAAAAGTTATAATTCTAATTATCTTTGGTTCCCTCCATCTGAAAGATAACCAATGCAATCTTAAATTTTCTCCTTTCTAAACATTTCTAACATGAAACCAAAGATATATTCTTCTACATCCTTAACTTAACTAAATATGTCGGCTATGGCTTCCTAGATTTAAAAAGAGCCTTGCATTTTCTTTTATTTTTAATATTGAATTTCTATTACTCTAAATTTAAGTTATATACTGTAAAATCGATAAAAGAATTAAATAGAAGTTTAGACTTTGTGTAGATATGAAATTGGCAATATTAGAGGTAAATTATGCTATTGAGAAATCAAGATAACATTTGCATTGATTGATTCTTAATAATATAGAATAAGTAATTTTTATCTGGATAAATAACTTATATTTATTTTAATTGCTATTATTGATTCATTCTTTTTCCTTTTTAATCTATTTTAGAGAAAAATAATTGTAATTTTTCAGCTAACTAATGAAGAAAGGAGTATGTTGTAAAACTCCTTGTTTATTATTTTAATTATGATTATTCGATAAATAGTTGTCATAAAATTGTTTTTTTCTAAAAGAATTGAAATTTTAAAATTAGATTATGGATAAGTAGAGTATTCAAGATTTGATATTCATGAATAAAACTTAGTCTGAGCCTTCAAAGATAGATTGTCACCTTTACAGGAAAATAAAAAATAAAACCTAAACATCCAACACCTTAGGGGTATCCCACTTTATTTTTTTCTGAATCAAGAATTGAAAAGGTATTTTTGTGAAAAACTTAGGATTTAATTAATAGGATACAAGTGACAATCAACTGTTAATATTTTTTTTTATAGATAAAAATAGCTTCTTACTTTAACTTTATAAAATACTATATATTGATACAATAATGAATCAAAAATGTTTATAATTAACTGATAAATCGAAAGTGGAATTTTAATTGAAAAATTAGGATTAGGAGTAACAACTAAGCCTATACTAATTTCTTATTTATTTGGAAGCTATCTGACCTCCATAAATCTTAATATTGTATGCAAGTGATGTTTCTGATGATCTAATGGGTTACACAATCTTATCATTAAGGACTTATTTTTATTACTCAATATTATGCGCAACTTTTTTCATGATGTATATTTTAGCCGAAATAGAAAAAAATTTCTTTGTATGTCTCAAGTTAAAATATTTAAATATTATTTCGAATTTCATATTATAAGTCAATAAATTTTAAGTGGAGATTAAATTAGTAGGATCTTTTAATTTGTGTACTTACTCTTAAGGGAATTACTGAGATGGAAGTAATTGTATAGAGCTTCAATTAAGCTCAAACTTAAATTAGCTGAAAACACCTTCAATGAAGTAATTGATGAACATGAAGTCTGGAATACTTTTAGTTATAGACTTAGATGGCAATAGTTTACATATAAATGAAATGGAGTTTAGTAAAGGGAGTTTGCGATTATATAGAAATACTGCTATCCCTGAGTTTTACGCATAAGATTAAATACCTTCCATATTATGGGTATCTTGAAAGACATTAAATATAATTAGAAAAATATAAGTAATGTGAAGCTTAATGGTCGTTAAGTCATGTTTAAATCCATAGCTCTTTTCTGTTCTAAATCTTTAAGCCCTCAAGCATATTTGAACAAGAAGAATAAGACTAGTAGACTATAAACTATAGATTAAATATCTATTAATAAACACTCGCATAAAATATAAAATCTTCATTCAAGATTGAAGTTATGAGAAGAAAAATTCCCAAGAGATAGTGAAGAAAAGAGTTTGATATATCATTTACTCACAAACAGAAATACAATAATATAAGCTTATTTATTATTATTTTATTGATATTAAATTAATTAAGTTTATTAATGAACTATCTAATTTAGATTTATTTCTTCCCAATATCTTCACTAAATTCTTCACATTTTCTATTCCTTAAAAATTGCAAAATATCATCCTCTAAGGGCTATCAATGCTTCGTTTAAAAAAATTAATTACATTGGCAAGCGATTAAATAATTAAAAACAATCATTTAATTTAATAACCCTTAGAAAAATTATTTACCTCCATTCCCTATTAATATTAACCCTCGTTCTTTTAAATTCTACCAAAATTGATTGAAGGTGATGAGTTTACTATAACATGAACCAACAGATCCTTTTAATGTAAAACTCTACATAAATGAGTGATTATTAAAATCACAATTTCTTATTTCTGATCTTTTTATTGATCCGAAGAAGGAAAGTTTCCTCCAATTAAAATCAATAAGGTTCAGATTATATAATCCTGACTCTAAGGATCTCCATCACAGACTTCTTTAATTGTCTATCCTTATCTCTCATTAATTTAGGCCCATCATGTCTAACACCTATATATTCAGTTGATACCAACTTCCACTTACTAATATATGTTTTCAATTCACAAACAGTTTTCTATTTTTCAACATCTCTTTCCTACAAATGAGTTTAAACTATCCCTTTTTTAAAATTTCTATATACAAATTACTATTTACAGTCATACAAAAAGTCAACATACATTTATTTGTTTAGTCTCTGTGTAAGGAATTATTTATTCGCTACAGAGATCATACTGCCTTATTATGAGATTAATACTGGGTCCAATTAATTCATTTATATCTTCTTAGTTATCTAATTCCTCTCCTTATCATCCCTCTACAACTCTAACTCTCTCCAGATCAAATAACCTCCTCTCTAATTAATTATTCCTTAGATCAACCAACATCGATTCAAGAACCTTCTAATTCTTCTTTAATATTTAATTCTTCTCGGTAAGTTTAACGAGTTACGGTTTCTGATCCTATTAAAATTATCACTTTTCTTCTTGAATATCCTGATAATCGAAGGAAAAGTTCTCTTTGGTCCAATTGGTTTATATTGTGTACTTGCTTCAGTATTCATTAGGTACTTGGCCAGACCAGGAGAACCAAAAGCTGTATCAATATATGCCATACACTTCTTATTTAATCTATGCTTTATTTTCAAAATCAACCTTCTTCTTTTTCTTGATCTTTTTTACCTTAATCACTTTGAAAGAGAGAGTTGCTTTAGATTATGTCAAATCACATCTTTGAGAGTACTTCTGTCTTATTCTGAAATCTAATATCTCGACCAAAACACATTACCAACTCGACCAACTAGTATGGATGGCTTAAAAGCTAATTTCATAGGTATCTCTTCTCTGCACTGATAATGATTAATGAATATTATCTTAACTATGTTCGATAAGTATGAGAAAATTTTTAGTAAATTAATAAAATTGAACATCATTCTCAAATAATATATAATTATGGATTAATAAAATGAAAGTCCAAAAATTAAATTAACTTTTAATTTTTGATGCAGGAAAGAGATAAAAATTAAAATTGGGGTGTCAATGATTACTGCCTAAATTTAAGTGCAGACATGGTTGCCTAATATTTAGCAATCCTTGGTGTGGATATATTAACCTTTAAACCTTTTCTTAATGCTCTTTAGTTTACAGAATAAGAAGAAAGTANTTATTATTATTTTATTGATATTAAATTAATTAAGTTTATTAATGAACTATCTAATTTAGATTTATTTCTTCCCAATATCTTCACTAAATTCTTCACATTTTCTATTCCTTAAAAATTGCAAAATATCATCCTCTAAGGGCTATCAATGCTTCGTTTAAAAAAATTAATTACATTGGCAAGCGATTAAATAATTAAAAACAATCATTTAATTTAATAACCCTTAGAAAAATTATTTACCTCCATTCCCTATTAATATTAACCCTCGTTCTTTTAAATTCTACCAAAATTGATTGAAGGTGATGAGTTTACTATAACATGAACCAACAGATCCTTTTAATGTAAAACTCTACATAAATGAGTGATTATTAAAATCACAATTTCTTATTTCTGATCTTTTTATTGATCCGAAGAAGGAAAGTTTCCTCCAATTAAAATCAATAAGGTTCAGATTATATAATCCTGACTCTAAGGATCTCCATCACAGACTTCTTTAATTGTCTATCCTTATCTCTCATTAATTTAGGCCCATCATGTCTAACACCTATATATTCAGTTGATACCAACTTCCACTTACTAATATATGTTTTCAATTCACAAACAGTTTTCTATTTTTCAACATCTCTTTCCTACAAATGAGTTTAAACTATCCCTTTTTTAAAATTTCTATATACAAATTACTATTTACCCAATAATTAATATCATTAATTTTCAAACTTTGTTTATATATTTATAGATTTATCATCAAATTAATCTAATATTGGCAAGGTGTAAATTGCATTTTATAGAGCTTAAAAATAGAAATATTTTAAGATTATATATTACGGAGGTTTATGTTTTACATTGATTAATCTTTTTCTAAAATTTTTTCAATAGATTTACTTTAGAATTATTTATATAAATTTTTTAATTTTATAATGAATAAATTTAATTGTGAAATTGAACTAGATGATGAGTTCATAAAATAGATACAGTGTTAAAAGCTAAAAAAAGATGAGAGGTACTATTTTTTTCTAGATATTAATAATGTAATTGCAAATTATCTTCAAGGTGACATTGATTATACATTATGTCATTAGTTTATAAATGTTTATAATTTGATGTATGTAAAAATTCACTTAGTGCTTTAAGCTAATCAGTATTAAATATTTTTAGATGACAGTTAGAGAAGATATAATTATCTCCTTAAATCTTAATCATTTCGGAAATATAATACTTTTTGATTATTAATATACCTTTCCAGTCTTTTATAGAATCTAATACTTTTAATATCAATTGATTATGAAGGTTTGAGCAAGAATAGAAAAGAGTAATTGTAAAAATTATTCAATTTCAATGTTTTAACCTTGTGATAGGTTAGATTATTTATAAGATTGACTTTATTTTTGAATTCTTGAAATATCTTTTTTCTTATCTTTGTTATTGATCGTATCTTTTCCTATTTATAAACTAAAACTTATTAATTATGTTGTTAAGACTAATCCCTTTTGTAAATTGTAATAAATTAAGTAAATCTGTCATATAATATTATCGATCTTTATTTTAAACTGTTCTCTATTTAGATTATTAATTTAAGGTAGTATCATTTAAATTTAAATCTCCATCATTTTAATTGATAACAGTTATATGATATTTAAATAAATAATCCCTACACCAAACTGATCGTATATTTTAATAATATTAAAATAAATGTGGTGTATATACACTGAAAGTTAAAAAAGCTTTAAAGAATAAGAACTTACTTAGCTTGAGAAGTATAGATTAAGAGTGAAACTAATAAAGACAAAATTTAAAAAAATATTCGATATAGATTATGATTATTATTGCAATATTGATAATGAATAATCATGTTCACACTTTCTATAAGTTTTCTACAAAACAGCATCCTTTTGATTTTAATAATTATCTTAAATCGTATCCTTCATAATTAAAAAATTCTCCTTTCAAGATCAAAGCTCCTTATGCTTAAAATAATGGTATTTAAGATATTCTTAGAATTGTAATATTGTTGGATTCTAAACGGTAATAATAAAATAAATACCTGGCAGAGGATGATTTGAAAATAGTGGTGCTTTAATTTAAGCAAGAATATCTTTGTAGTTTTTATCAGAGGATTTAATTTCTTATCCTATTTTGACATCCCATAGACGGATAGAGTTATCTACACTACCAGAAGCTAATGTATTTCCATCAGGAGAGAAACAGACCGACATAACATAATCACTATGACCATCTAATTTGGCTTATTATTATCCTTTTTTGACATCCCATAGACGGATAGACTTATCATAACAACCAGAAGCCAATATATTTCCATCAGGAGAAAAACAGACTGACAATATACCACTAGTATGACCATCTAATTAGGCATTTTATTATCCTGTTTTGACATCCCATAGACGGATAGAGTTATCATTACTACCAGAAGCTAATGTATTTCCATCAGGAGAAATACATACTGAGTAGACATAACTAGTATGACCAACTAATTTTGCTTTTTATTATCCTGTTTTGACATCCCATAAAAGGATAGACTTATCATTACTACCAGAAGCTAATGAATTTCCATCAGGAGAGAAACAGACTGACATAACATAATCACTATGACCATCTAATTTGGCTTATTATTATCCTGTTTTGACATTCCATAGACGGATAGAGTTATCTCTACTACCAGAAGTTAATGTATTTCCATCAAGAGAGAAACAGACTGACATTACCCAATGCTCATGACCATCTAATTTGGCTTTTTATTATCCTGTTTTGACATCCCATAGACGGATAGACTTATCATAACTACCAGAAGCTAATGTATTTCCATCAGGAGAGAAACAGACTGAGTAGACAGTGCTAGTATGGCCTTATAATTTGGCTTATTATTATCCTGTTTTTAAATTCCATAGACGGATAGACTTATCATTACTACCAGAAATTAATGTATTTCCATCAGGAGAAATACATACTGAGTAGACAGTGCTAGTATGGCCTTATAATTTGGCTTATTATTATCCTGTTTTTAAATTCCATAGACGGATAGACTAATCACCACTACCAGAAGCTAATGTATTTCCATTAGGAGAGAAACAGACTGAGTAGACAGTGCTAGTATGACCATCTAATTTGGCTTTTTATTATCCTGTTTTGACATCCCAAAGACGGATAGACTTATCCCAACTACCAGAAGCTAATGTATTTATTATTTCCATTAGGAGAGAAACAGACTGAGTAGACAGTGCAAGTATGACCATCTAATTTGGCTTTTTATTATCCTGTTTTGACATCCCAAAGACGGATAGATATATCAAGACTACCTGAAGCTAATGTATTTCCATCAGTAGAGAAACAGACTGAGTAGACAGTGCAAGTATGACCATCTAATTTGGCTATTTTCTTTCTTATCATAACATTCCATATTAAGATAGACCCATCATCACTTCCAGAGGCTAAGTTATTTCCATCAGGAGAGAAACAAACTGATTTAACATTATCAGTTTGACCATCGAATTAGGCTTTTTATTTTCCTTTTTTGACATCCCATAGACGAATAGTCTTATCACTACTGACAGATGCTAATGTATTTCCATCAGGTGAAATACAGACTGAATTCACACAATTACTATGACCATCCAAGTTATTTAATTCATGGATTCTTAAATTTTTCCATTTACAATTTAATAATAATGCTCCATTCAAATTCATCCAACTTATATCAACATTATCAAATTAGGATCCACTTAAATTACAGCGAGCAAAATTACCTCCTACTAAAGAAGTATTTTAGATCTTAATATTTTCCAAATTTTTCTTTCTAAGGTCCACCTTCATCTAAACTAATAAATGTAATGAATTCGACCCAACCTATATTAAAGCTTCATCAATGGATGTGAGGTGAACTAAAAATTACAGTAATTCTTATATCTATTTTTTATCCTTGATGCTTTAAATTAACTTTAGTTTAGATTCTTCATTTTCTTCAGAGATAATGTCTTAGTTATTGAAGTCATGATCTTTTAATTTTTTTAATACATCTGTAATTTAATTTATGTCATTTGCAATAACAGACAATTTTTATTCCGTATCAGCTTGGGTGATATTCTCTACTTGTTGTAAGATTTATGATTCTAATTGTCTCGAATTCTAAATATCTGATAGAAATCCAATACAGTCTTTCATTTTTTCCTTTCTAAACATTTCTAATAAAACCACAAAGATTTTTATATCTACATCTTTTACTTAATCAAAGATGTCGGCTAGAGCTTCCTACTCTTAAAAAGAGCCTTGCATTTTCTTTTTTATTTTTAATAATTAATTTCTATTACTCTAACTTTAAGTTATATACTGCAAAATAGATAACAGTATCTTGTGTATTTCTGTAATATAGAAGTTAGAATTTTGCATAGAATTTGAAATTGATTATAATTTAAGTAAATTCTGATATTGAGAAATCATCTAAACATATGGATTGCTTTCTTCTTAAATAATATGGAATAATTAATTTTTATATGAATAATTTAATTTATACTAATTTTAGTGATATAATTGAATAATTCATATTTCTTTTTTTTTCTCCTTTTATAAAGTATGAATAATTGGAATTTTTGAGCATTGTTTAAAGATTTGAATATATCTTATTATTGTAATTAGATTTTGGTTTATATTTATAGTAAAAATTATGTAAAAGTAATCTATTACTTATATAAACATCCCAAAACTAATAAAACAAAACAAAAACCCAAAACTTCCAACACCTTAGAAGTCATCTCCTAGACGGTAGAAACCTTTTCACCCTAGGCCATAGTACTCTGCTAAAGTAAAAACAACAATTGTATGGATGCCCAAAATTGCTTAGAAAGGAATTTAAGAATAATCATTTTTTTTATATAAGTCATATTTTTCTGGTATTTTTTTATTTAGGTCTAAAATATAATATGACCCTTCTGATGGAGGTTCCCAAGTCTCCAAAAAAATGTAATACTCAGTCTATTTTTATGAACAATAATTTTTTAATACAAGTAATATTTTTTGGGTATTTTTCTATTTAGGTCTAAAATCTAGTATGAACCTTCTCATAGAGGTTCCTTTGTCTCCAGGAAAATTCTTAATATGTCTATATTTATGAACAATCATCTATTAAATTTCCTATAATATTGTTATTTTTAATGAATTAAATTTCCTTATATAATAATTTCCTTTTTAATATTTCCAAATACTTTTGATTAAAATTGATGTTTAATCAATTATTAAAATAAAAATGTTGATTAAATTACTTAGTTAAATTAAAATCATATTTTCAAATAGTTTTGATTATATTTGAATAGCAAACTATATATTTAATATAAAAATGTTGATTAAATTTCTTAACTAAATTATAATAGTATTTCCAATATAGTTTTGATGATATTTAATTAAGAAATTTAATCAACATTATTATTTTTAATAATAAATTAAAAATCAATTTTAATCAAAAGTATTTTGAAATAAGATTTTAATTTACCTAAGTAATTTAATCAACATTTTTATTTTAATAATTGATTAAACATCAATTTTAATCAAAACTATTTTGAAATAAGATTTTAATTTAATTAAGTAATTACACTCGAAATACACATTGTAATAAAACTTATTATTGTATTGATTAATATATTTAGCCGAAAATATTTTATCAATTTATCTCTATATTTTATATTTTCTCTTACTTGATAATCAAGATTTATTTTCCAAATGGAATTATTTAGATAATTAAACTCTTATTTAATAAGTAATATAGATACCTAAGTGTAATAATTAGGAGCTATTTTAATTAAAATAGTGATAAATGAGTGAAAGTAGTTCAGTAATCTGTGATATATATCCAAAATTTAAAAGAGTAATATGCTTTTTTCAAAGGAAATTAGCTGCAATACTCAGAATGTTGGATGAAAATGATTCGATAAAATTCTAATATTAAAGGTCTGTTAAAAATACTTGAATTGAGAACCTTCTACTTAGATGGGAATTGACCAATTTGGAATATTTGGTCTTAGTGAAAAAAATCATAATTTACTTTGAATGTTGTAATAGAAGGACAAGAATTTTGTTAATATATTATGAGAAAATTTATAATAGAGAGGAGAAGATAATAAAGAGAATTATCAAATTACTAGAATATGCTTATTTATCTGTTTCGTTGAGGACATAATCTTGCAAGATCTGACCAAATATTTTACATTAATGATATGTTTTATTAGATGAAACTGATAGTGACTTTTGATTTGTAAATCATTATAATTTAATTATATTTTTTATCCTCTTTACACTGAAATTAATCTAAGTTTGATTAATTTAAATCATATAAATTAAAGTTATGATTAAATTTATCTATTTAAGATCCTTATTGTTTATATATTACACTAATTAATCAATTGTTTAAATAAATTAGAAAGAAAATTTTGTTTATTTCAATTTCGATACATTTCTAAATTTAAAAGAATGATATCAGGTTTATAATTAAATATAAACAATTTTGATTGAGTATTATTCTTTCATAATATTTACTTATTGAATTTGATGTATTAATCATAAATAATAATATCAATTACCTAGAGATTTAAAATTTTAAATATAACTGGGATATATGTTATTGATTATAAAAATAGTTATTAAACATTTAAATCTCTAAATTACCCATTGCTAGATAAATTTTGTCTTAGGCATTGATATTTTCAGTCAGAGATATATAAATACAACAAGTGATTAGAAATATATCCAACACCCTTAGGAATGTAATTCAATCATAAATGCAGTTGTTAAATATTTATGACAAAAATTTAAAATTTTACCTAACATTAAACTATATGGGACTATGCAATAGTTTAAGTTGGAAAACTGAGAATTGATAATAAAATTGGTAATATCTTGAATAGTTTGAGCAATCAAATTTATTATAATATTCAATATTTAAAATAAAGATCAAAGTTAAAGTAGTGTTGTAAATTTAGGATTTCGCATAATAAAAATTAAATAAAAAAATTAGAAAAACTCAAAACTTGAAAAGCAATTATTAAACATAATTAAATGATTCTTTGTAAATGTCATAGAAAGTATGTAATTTATAATATTAATTTTAAGAAATTCTATATTTTAACTACTTGATAGGGAAAATATAAGGTGATAAGTTCTTGAAAAAACTAAGAATATTTAGTAAAACAATAATTATTACTTCTTTAGTCATAAATTGATTATTATTTGGGATTGGACTATATTTTTAATTTTTACATCTTAAGTCGAAAATTTTAACTTAAGTTAAGTGATATATTGTTTATGGCCCTTATATTATGGTTATACTTAAATTAAAGATTTAATGCATTTTTCTATTTTGTTTTAATTATGAAAAATAATCTTCGTTTTTGAATTAAATGCAGAATTTAATCATTTATATTCCAGTAATAATACTATTTAATATTTTATTTAATTAATAAATATATGAAATACTAATTTTATATAGATATTATTATTATTGAACTTTTTTTATGTGATATTTTATTATTTATTAATTCAAATCTGAATTTAACTAAATTATTTTTAATTTGTAATTTGGATTCTATATAGAGCTTGCCATAATCAATATTATTATCATAACTTTAAGCATCACCACCTAATACTTGTACTAAATGACTTTTCTCTATCTAGTTTATATTATATTTTATCTCAATTACAATCCAAATATATATTTTATATAATTATATACATATTCAACCTTTTAAAATTATTAAAACCTAAAAAGATACTTAATATCAATTATATATATAACAGGAATTCTTAATGTTCTTCTAATATGTTGTAATTAGGAATTGAAGTTAAATAAAAAGAACTTAAATAATTTAAGTTAAAATTGATAATTAGCCAATAAAGGTTATAATCAAACTAAACTAATATAAATTTACACGAAAATTTGTGTATGGATAAAAACTATCAATTTTGCTGTTAAATTCAAATACCTTTGAAGACTGTTGTTTTTCAGAAAAATTAAAAAAGAAGATGATAAAAAAAGTGTAAATTGATAAAAGTCTAATGAATATAATTCTATTGAATTCAAAGTTTTTTTATAATCTTCAAATAACTTTAAGATTTACTTTTTCTGTCCTATGAATTAATTTTTTATGAGATATGCATGATTTTAACACAATAGAACTTTATCAACAAATAAATACATTTACTTCTCAATAGAAATTATTCATAATAATTACCTACCCTTAATTATTCATAAGAATTTATCTTAATATTAATCATTTGACTTTAATAATTATTTCTATTTAATATTATTGAGTTACTATTAGTAATAATTATTGTTTTAAAAAGAATTAAATTAATTTAAATGAAAAATCATACTTTTATACACTGTACTAATTTTTTTATATGGGAAGATGATCAGAATAAATCAACATTAGATCATGAATTAGAAATTTATGGATTTGTACTCCATGATTATTTAGAGCATATAAAAGAAATTTTTTTTAATTTTTTTAATTTAGGATATATTCGTAGATTATCGCTAAATAATTGCTTAAATTCAATGCCTATAATATTAAAATATGATTTAAAAGTTGAAAAAATTATATCTGTCTTCTTTTTATTTGTTAAAAAACTTTCACATATACATATTCTTAATTTGAAGTTATATTAGCTGCTAGCTATAATGTTCTTTAATTCAATCAAATATCTTATATCTTAATATACCAAACTAATTTATTAATTTAATATTTATAATTGTTTTATAAATCTTGACTAAGGAAGTGAAATATAAATTTAGAAAATTTAATCAGAATTTAAAGTAAATGAACAAAAAGAAATCCAGTTCAGTTATTTAAGATTAAATTATTGAAATGATGTAAATCAAAATGAATATTTATAAACAAATATACTTAATGTCATTTATATTAAAATAAGTANATATAAATTTACACGAAAATTTGTGTATGGATAAAAACTATCAATTTTGCTGTTAAATTCAAATACCTTTGAAGACTGTTGTTTTTCAGAAAAATTAAAAAAGAAGATGATAAAAAAAGTGTAAATTGATAAAAGTCTAATGAATATAATTCTATTGAATTCAAAGTTTTTTTATAATCTTCAAATAACTTTAAGATTTACTTTTTCTGTCCTATGAATTAATTTTTTATGAGATATGCATGATTTTAACACAATAGAACTTTATCAACAAATAAATACATTTACTTCTCAATAGAAATTATTCATAATAATTACCTACCCTTAATTATTCATAAGAATTTATCTTAATATTAATCATTTGACTTTAATAATTATTTCTATTTAATATTATTGAGTTACTATTAGTAATAATTATTGTTTTAAAAAGAATTAAATTAATTTAAATGAAAAATCATACTTTTATACACTGTACTAATTTTTTTATATGGGAAGATGATCAGAATAAATCAACATTAGATCATGAATTAGAAATTTATGGATTTGTACTCCATGATTATTTAGAGCATATAAAAGAAATTTTTTTTAATTTTTTTAATTTAGGATATATTCGTAGATTATCGCTAAATAATTGCTTAAATTCAATGCCTATAATATTAAAATATGATTTAAAAGTTGAAAAAATTATATCTGTCTTCTTTTTATTTGTTAAAAAACTTTCACATATACATATTCTTAATTTGAAGTTATATTAGCTGCTAGCTATAATGTTCTTTAATTCAATCAAATATCTTATATCTTAATATACCAAACTAATTTATTAATTTAATATTTATAATTGTTTTATAAATCTTGACTAAGGAAGTGAAATATAAATTTAGAAAATTTAATCAGAATTTAAAGTAAATGAACAAAAAGAAATCCAGTTCAGTTATTTAAGATTAAATTATTGAAATGATGTAAATCAAAATGAATATTTATAAACAAATATACTTAATGTCATTTATATTAAAATAAGTACTTATCAAACTAAAATTTTCTATAAATCAGTAAGATATCCAATATTTCTAATTCTATTTATTTATGATTTAAATTAATTTAAATATCAGGCAAAAGGAAATTAATATGATCAAATTTAGTTTGGCTAATAAGAATTTTGAATATTAGAATCCTGTTTATTTTTCTTTGGTATTCTTACAAATCATTACTTTAACATTAATCATAAATGAATTATTCATTTCAACACATTTAATGTGAATTGATCGTCTCTTCTTCTCCTAACATTTATTAAATTATATAATGCGTTTAGAAAATACAAGTACTCACACAATTATAACAAATAATTAAACAGAACAATATATAAATTCTATATTTAAATTTTTTCTTTAATTTATAAAGTATAAAATTCCAATAATTTCCTATTCTTTTGATCTTTTAAAATGAATTAATAATGTCAATATTTAATATTATTAATCAAATACATTATTTTTAGGAAAATATTTAAGAAAAGCAGAAAATTTAATTTCAATAATTTTTTGGTTTTAGTTACTATTTAGAAAATTTTTAATTCTGGTAGCTTAATTTCATCTTTGCCAAAAGAGTAATAAATTTTAAGGAATATATTTTATCAAAATCAATTCAAAAAATGTGAGAAAGTTTAACCAAAATATGTTTTCTGGAAAACACAACTGAAATTCAGAAAAACTGAAAATAATAGGATGAATAATATTCATATTTATTTAAAGAATAATGGGTAATCATTAGGAAGGGTGAAGAACTAATTGATCTAATGTTAAATGTAGATCCACTTTTTAAATGGAAATCAATTTAATTTTTATTATTCTTGAATAATTTTGGAACATAATTTATATTATCTTAAATTAAAATTTATATATAATCTTTTTAGATTTAATATAAAAAATGTTTATTTCTTCACTTTATTATAGAAACTTATGATTATTAATAAATAATAAGTGAATATTAGATTGAAATATATTGAAATGAATCTAATAATAAAAAAAACAGATTTAAAATTTATTATACTACAATACCTATCAAATCATAAATCTTAACTTTATTGGTATTCATAAATTATTTGTTAAAATACAACTTAATCTAATATTAAAATGATATACACTCTTACATAAGTAAATTTTCTTTGCATTTTTTAATTAAGTTTACTATAATATATTATAGAATATTTCTTCAAAATAAATTATAATACAAACAACTCCTAATATTATTTATTATTCATATGAAGAAGAATATTTAATTATTACCATTAACTCTATTATAAGTATTCTAATAAATCTATTGTCAAATAAAAACACACTTTTTAATATAAAAAGAATAGTTTATCTGATATGAAACGAAAATATAGGAATTAATCTTAATGTGTTAACTTTTTATAAAGATATACTAAAAAATAAATATCAATACAAGATTACTTTTGGATAATTCTCATGATAAAAATGTTGATTAAGCTACTTTAATTTCTTAATTAATAATCAGATTTATATATAAGAATGATAAATGAATCTAATATTATATATTGTATAAATTAGTTTACAAATTTAATTTTTAAATTTATAAAATTTACATGAAATTTACAACAAAAAGAAACTAGATGTAAATACTCTAATTAACTCTTATATGCTCAATTTATTTAGTTATTTAAATATATTTAAATAAACCGAACTACTTAATTTGCTGATAGCTCTTTTTTGTTCTAACCTTTCTAATTTTAGGTTTGTTAAATTTTAGTTTTTTCATATAATTTTATTTAGATAAAAAGGAAATTAGATCTTATTAAAATAAAAATATAATTTTTAAATGGGTTAATGATAGACTGATCTTGATAACGGTTTTATAAAACAATATTATAGGCTGTAGTAGGTTTAAAAAATTACCAAATGCTTATCTTAAGATAACCTAAATTAGGTTAAATCATAAACTACAAAAAAAAATTTGTTTGAAACCATTATTTGATAACTATTATTATGATAGTATAGATTTTAACATATGGTAATAAATAAAGATAACAAAATATTAATGATATTTTGAACATTCAAGAAAAAATTAAGGATTAATCTATTTAATTTATAAATCATAGTATCAATTTTTTATTCTCATTTATTTGATTAGAGAAAATAAAATAATTGTAGACAACAATATCAAATATTATAGAAGCTTATTGTTTATAAAAAAATTATTAATATTTCTAATCATTGGTTTGAAACTATTTAGTAATATGAATATCTATAATTTTAAGTAAACAAAATGAATTTATTAAGTTAGATGGTTATATATATTTTAGATTATGAAAATTTATAAATTTACAACTAAAATAACCTATTTATAATCAGTTTAATCAAACTAGATTACATTGCTAATTAAATTTAGTTTTATAATCTTCATTAAACTAAACTTTAGAAAATCTTCCAAAAACTTTATTTTTTAGATTACTTATTATAATAATTAAAAAATTTTCACAGCAATCGATTATTCTGTTTTTTAATATTATAATAGCTGAAATATATAAGCTTATCTGCATTTCTCTATTGTTTCTTGACTTTTGGTTTTAGTGGATCTTATAGGACAACAACTGTCATAATAATTGGTTGATTTTCGATGCCTTTATAAATTGGATGCTTTGGATCATCATAATCACTTAATCAGCCATGTAATTCTTGTAAAATGTTCCCAATTTCTCTTAATCCCTTTTTTTCTAAATTATTAGCAAAATTAATTCTTATCTTAAACATATAATGGGATGATATCCATTTTTGTTTAGATTCTAATCATTTTAGTTTTTTTTAACAATAAATCTAGAACTCCCATTCCTGATTCATTTTATGAACAAAACAGACATATTCATATTCTTTCTGCTTCTTGTGAATTCTAACCTAAAATCTATTCATTATATTTTGTAGGAGCCTCTATAGTTGGTTTAATATTACAAACCTTATCATATTCGTAAACTAAACATTGAACTAATGTTGTTAATCCACTTATTTAGACTCTTTTTTCATAAGTGGATTATCTAGTTTTATTGTTTAAACTATTTCCTTCAACAAGTTAGACATCTTTAGCAACCAATCTTTCTTTCTGTTTTATAAGATATTCCTTCTTAATAGAATACTTTAATTGATCCTGATAAAACTACACTTTCTTTAACAAAAATTTATTTGGCTTTCAAAGTATCAGTAATAATGATAGTTAAGCATCCTAAGTAGATAATTTAAGAAACATAGCTTTGTTTTTCATCTTAGTTTGATCTCCTTAAGCTATCAGATTATAATAATAGCTAGTAGTCCTTCTTGAATAGCCAAGGCCACCTATACTACTGCTACTTTAAAATAATTTTAGGTTCAAATAATAGTTTATCCATGAACAGGATTATCTTTTTAAAAAGGATCATCATCATCTTTTATTTCCCTTATTTGCATCTTAAATTTCCCTTTAAACATTTCCAAATATCTTCTCATTCCTGTTATGCAAAAAATACCAATGGATTTATCATTAGATATTAATGTTTCTGAAAATATGAAGTTGTAATTATCTTAATCATTGGATCAGATGTCTTATTAACAGGATTCACTATCCCTGTGAGGATTGACTATCATATTATCTGATTTTTTTTAATTGTAATATTTTTAAAATCTACCTATCTTAAACCTGCTGGAATTCAATATCCGAATTTAATTTCAACAAAATCAACTGGAATTAAGTCATTTGCTTTAAATTAACCCAATTTTTATCTTTTAATACTCTGTCATGAGTTATGAGTTGATTGCAAATCTTTAAAGCCAAAATTTTATAAAACGCATACTCCTATGGTTATCTCTGCACCTAAGTCTTACAAAATACCTGAAACTGCATTTAATATCACTATTTTAAAAGTTCATGTAAGTCTCTCACAAAGGAATGTCTGCATACGAATTGTAACAATCTTAAAATTTTAAAATAACACCAGCTAATAAAAATAGTATTACTAAACTATCGAATTTTCCTTAATTTTCTCCAATATACTCTATTTCTCTTATTTCTCTAATTAATTTGGACCAGATTTGAATAATATTGTTTATGCTTCAACTAGATCTTTTCTTAATTGAATAATGCTCATAATTTAATAAAATATTTCCATTTGGTCCATAATTGCGAAATAAATGTCTTTCAATATCTTTTTAATTTTATCTTATATCAAATATTAGTTAATATAATTAAAGAAGACTTAAAAGAAACATGTAAAATATATCATTTTAGAAAATATATATTTATTAGTATAATAATTTTCCTGGTTTAATAGTTAAAGAAAATCTAAATGAATATAGAGAACTATAATTCTCAATTAGATGATTTATAAAATATATGAGGGAGTCAAAATCTTCGAATTAAATGTAATTTCCAAAGGAGTTCCAACCAAATATGTTGATCATCAGGCCCATTTTCAATTTTATTTTTAAATTAACACAATTGCAGCATAATGTTATTAAAAAGCTACCCTTAATGCAACTACAGGATTGAATAATCTATTGTTCATAGTTGCTGAAACCGATAATAGTTATATATTTGATTATCTTGCTCAACAATAAAAAATACTAATGGATGCTGCAGATTAGAATATGTTTAAGTAATTTTTGTGTTGTAGCTCTCTCAATATACATAAATGTAAGGAATATAACCGAAATAGTAATCTCTGACATTCTAATTCCCAAGACTTAATTAGTTGGTAATCTAATTGAATAATTTGATTTAAAATTCATAATAACGTGAAGTTTGAAAAATAAAAGATTTCTTATCTAAGACTTGTAATTATACTTTTGGAGAGGTCTCAGATAATTTACCCACTTAAGATGCTTAGGTTGGAGCTGAAGGTGTAGGTTTTGAAAATAGATCATCGATGATAATCAGATCGAGTCAAGGTTTATGCTTCAAGAAGAATTAGTCCAGGCAGTGAAAAGAATTGTCAAAATAGCTCACTCTTTAAACATCTTAAATTGGAAGCTTTAAGGTCCTTCATCAGTGAAATGCAAACTTTAAGAAACTTCCAAATTATCATGGCCTAAGAAGCCTAATGTTATAAGGGCAATGATATGAATTAGATGAATCCCAACTGTCAGAAGAATTCATCTAGAAACCAAGAACATCTTGATTTTTAAGGATATATATAAAATGTTTCAATGTTTATTATGAATTTTCACTTTACTCCTACTACTGAGCTTGAATATAGAGCCGTTGTTGGTCGTGATATTAATAATTAGATGAGGAAGAATTCCAATGAATACTATGATTTGGCCAAATAATGATTAACAAGGATATACAATTAGGATCAATAATATAACAGAGATGAATATAGAATGGAAATATGTAATATAATCTGGAGAATTCTATATATTTTTTGGACCTTAAACCTCTTCTATTTAGATTTTATTCTCTTAGAAGATTTGTTTTAAATAGAATATTTTTTTCTCAGGTAATTTTATGTAAATTAGCTGGAAACAGGAAGACAAACTCATATATCTAGCGGATCTTAAGAGATTAATTTCGTTTCAGATGAGAAATAGGCAATCGTATAAAATATGACAAAGAAGAGAAATGTTTTGGAACTAACATGGATAAATTTTTAAGTCATTTAAGAGTGATTTAAAAATATTTATATGTATTCATAACCTTATAAAATTAGAATGATAAGAATGCAAATATTATGCAAATATTAAATAATTTAATTGTGGATTATAAGATGTATTAGAATTGGATATAAATTTTTTTTGGTTCAAATAAACTTATTCTAAAAATTTCTCATTTTGATGAATTAGACTCTCAAGCTCACTCTAAATAGAAAAAAGTGGCTCTATGTTCAGATTCAGTGAGAAATTGAGGAATAATTAATCATGTAATATTGGAGAATAAAAATATGCTATGTTGAGGATGCAAAATAGTTCAAATAGAATGACTTTCTTGGAAATTATTTATAAGTAACCAGAGAAGTAAACCAATTAAAGCGATGTTATGATAATTCAAAATAGGAGGATAAGGGAATTACTTGTTTAATATCTTTAATAATTATAGATTTGAAAGTGAGATATACAAAGTCATAAGTAGAAAGATAGAATCTGATGAAATATGAGAAAACTGGATTTGAATGCGTTAAATAAAGGATTTTGATGGATAAATTAGATAATTTTCAGAGTCTGAAAATTTTGTTCGATCATCCTTGAATGATATTATTATGGAATGGAATCTTTTTACAGATTGAAAGGAAAAATACATAATTATATACTAGAGAGATTTCTTTTTTTAAAGACAAGATAAAATTTAGTGTAAAACTATATTTACATAGAAATAGATTATTTAAATTGATAGTCTTGGATTAGATGACAAATAAGAAGAGAGACAGGTAATGTTAAACAAAAAAAAAATAATATTAGATAATTAAAGGAAGTACAAACATTATAAAGGTGAAAGTGCCTAGATAAAGAATTCTGGTATATCAGTTTATGTTTCTAATAGCCTGAGTTGATATATGACATAAATAGTCTAAGTTTTAATAAGTAATAAGTATATAACAATTTAGAATTGATTTGCTTATTTATGGATAAAATGAAAAGAATATATTTATTTAAAAATTATCCAAATTTGCATACATATGAAAGAAAAATAGATTTGTATTGTCTTATCTTATTATCCTATGATTTATGTATCATACATAATAGAAATGAAAATTTCTTAGTTTTAAGACAGCCTGCAGACATGTTTGTAATACTAAAATGGGTGTATATGTGCAATAGTGGGTCTATTAGAATAGTACTTAAAAATGTTCAAACCAACTGAAATTAAATTGGAGATAATATTATATAACTAATAAGCTTTAAATAACAACAAACTAATATAGATACATATAACTAAAGGATTAATCAGTGATATATTTTACAAGAAATTATTAGCATTTAAATATTCACGTATATTTTATAAAAACTATGTATCTTCTGAGATTTTCTTATTCCATTTTAAAATTTTTAAAGATTCAGCTGAAATTACAAGAATAATTGTTCAAAAAATTTGTGCAACTTCAAGGATATATCTATCTTATTGCATAATATTACTTTGGTGAATATAAGGCCTTTACATAATATAAGAAAGACATCAAAATATAGTAAGATGAAAGAAATGAAATATTAGTAAACTTTTCCTCAATATTTATAATCTCATAATAATCAGTTCCACTAGGATGATACCATCTTATAGTTGATCGCCTTTAATTTCCTACAAGCTTAATGGTGTTATATAAATTAAATTTCACAATCAGTTCTAGTATTCCTCAGTGCGTCATTTCAATTTATAAAAGGCGGTAAATACCACTCCACAAATGTAGAATGGCATCGAGCATAACTAATCCCTCAAAGCCCTTCCCAATTTCAAGCCTCTACTTTTAGTTATATTTCTTGAACATCCTTCGCCTAATTTCTGATTTCCTGCCCCTTCAAATTTCGCTCTATATAGCCAAACAATGGATAATCTAATTGGCTCCTTCTTAAATTGGCTTTCTTCCTTGAAGATCTTTTTGACCCTTAGTACCTCATAAATATGCTTCGGTCCTTTTCCAAAGATCAGGGTTAGGAAGCGCTAAATCCTAAATAATTGTAGCATAACCTCGTTTTTTTATGTTATGTATAGGATTAGATTTCCAAATAATTTATGTCTATTTGATAATCTATTAATAGGTCGAGAGTAACTATGAATATATTCGCCAATATTTTATTTTACTTTGAACCGTCAGTTTAGCATCATTTAGTGTTTCAATCCCTGCTTTCAAAGGATAATATGAGGAACCTTCATTAGTTGTCACCCCAGATCACCAGGGGTAGATAGTATATGGGGAAAGTACTCCACAATTGCTTCCCCATTCTCGATAAATATAGAGATGTTGCCTTGAAGAGGCAGGGCTTTAGAGAACATTAGGCGAAGCGTTCAAGATTGCAAACTCACAGTTGCGGCTTGAAATTAAGAAGGGCTTTGAGAGATTAGGTAGGCTCGATGCCATAGTACAGCTGTGGAGTGGTATTTACAGCTATTTTTAAATTGAACTGAAGCATTAATAAACACTAGAACTGATTATGAAGTTCTAAATATAATATTTTGACTGACCTTGTTGTAAAAATATCTTGAAAAAATCATATCACATCTATTGGAAGACTTTTTTAGAATTTAACAATACTTTTATAGCCAGTATTTTACCTTACTTCACTTTTTGATGAAAATTTTGCTAAGATAAGATTCTATTTGATCTTTAATCAATGTCCAGATGACTTCTACAATTTCTGTATAATCTACTTCTTATCCATATTACAATTCCAAAGGTGGATGCATTTTTGGGTTTACTTATGTGTTCAATAAGATTATCAATTAGTGAAAAAATGCAATTAAAATTGCATCCTGACTAAAACACCTTTATACTTGTGCCTTTACATTAATGTTACTTCCTATCTCCTTAATCATTGATTCTTCATTTTTTATTTTTCAGTTGACATAAATTTTTGTTAGGAAAGATATATACAAATTGTAATTCAAATTAAGTTTGTACAAATTACTAACAAGTTCACTATATGATTATATGGAAAAGGGCAAGAAGATATAAATATTCCTCATTCTAAATATAGTTTCAAATAAAAATATTATTCTATCACCATGAATAATCTAATTCAATTTCGATTTTATTAATTAATTTAAGATCTTAATTATTTATTTTGAAATTTTATCAATAATATTTCACAATTTAAACTATGATTAGATTATTTAATATCTAAAATCCTTCAATGAGTTATCTTTAATTAATCTTTATTTTAAGAAATATTTGTATTTTATATTCAAATATATATATAATTCATTATCAATTCATTTTTTAAAGACAATTATATTACTTTATAATCTTCAAATCTAAAAAAATCCATTTGATTAATAATAGATTATTCAAATCAAAATCATTCTTTATTAATTCTTAATCTCTATTCTTATCAATATATAATAAAGAATTACTTATGTATTATTAAAAAACAATTAAATGTTGAAATTTCCAATAACATGAAGATTTGACCATAACACAAGAATAAAATGCTTCCAAAATTGAAATATTCTTCATGATTTAAAATTGTTTTAATGTTTTTGATTCAAGACTTACCATATTCTAGAATGAGGATCAATATTTTTATCAATTCGTATCCTCTATCTACTTTATGAGTATTATTTTATTTTGATAACTTATTATCATATTAAATAATTAAAATTTATTAACCACTGTAAATGTTTAAGTTCAAATTTATTATATACTTTATGAATATCTTAATCATATATTATCCTATTGACATATTAAAATTAATAATTATTCTGCTATTGATTAAATAAATAATTTATAAATATATAGTTTCAAGGATACTGTCAAAAATGAATCAAGAAGAATGGATTTTATCTATATTCTTACATCTTCATATATACATGTGAATTCATCATAATTACAAATACCCATTCTTTACACTTACCCTTTCCAAAAAATCTTTATGAATCTATGCAAGATAATATTTAATAGTTAGATTCTATAAACTTTTTTGTTTATTACAGCCATTCATCATCCATTCAATCATATAAAGATATTAATAAAACTTACTTTCCATTTTATTCAGACTGTTAAGTAGACTCGATATTTCATCAACTATAAAATCTGATAAGAGTATAATATATATTTCGACTGTTCTAATTTATGAATTATTTAAATAAATTTAATTTTATTCTAATTTAATATTATTATGTATTAGTTTTTTTAATAGAAATGGAGAAAATGAAAGTAAAATGTGTTAATTATAATTTAAATGAATAGTGAATAGATTGTTACCTTATATAAAATAGAGTAGAAGAATATCTTGAAGGTGTTTAATAAAATTTAGATAAAAGTTATTGAATAATATTAAATCATTAGTGTTCTTACAACAAAATTGATGCTTATTTAGATTAATTACTTATTGATCCTTCTCCAACTGTTTCAATCAAGAATCTTAATTTGGCTTTACCAGTTGTATAAATATCGATACTTTCTACATAACCATTTGTTAATTAGTTGAAAAACCTATAATCAATTCAACTATTCATAAACAAATTAAATAAAAATAAAAAAACATAGAATAACTTTAATAATAACTCACTTAATAATAATATAAAGAATTATAACAATAGAATCAAATTATATCAGACACCCATCATTAATTAAATCTTAAACCATTCAATTATTATTTAATATTGAAACATTCAATTCAATAAAGTGAAGATTGTAAAGCAATTGCTATTAATAAAGATAATTTAATTTTATTAGCTGGTTGTGATAGTAAGATCAAAGTATTTGAATTTAAATAAGAATAGTTGATACAAATTCAACTTTTAAGTGGACAGGATTATTTAATATTAATAATAGAACAATCATCATAGAATTAAAAATGGAATGTAATATAAAAGATTACAGTTGAAGTGTATGGTATAAGATTATGCTTTATCGATGATAATGTATTCACATTCCAACCTATATGTAAATAGTAAATGCATGTTTATGAGATGAATAGTACTAATAAATAGCACTCAAAGACAAAAGAAATTGCTGTTAGATGCGATTATTGGGGATGTCATAACTATTTCTTTTAATAATATATCAAGTCGAAATGCCTGCTTGTGAATAAGAATGGATATAATGTTAATTAGATAAGGAAGAACCAAAATAGTGATTTTATAACATTATGATCTATTCAATTTGGGACTAGTTCTTTGTTCGGATAGATGAGTGAAAATGGAGAGTATTTGATGACTTGGGATACAAAAACTAAGGAAATTAAAATTAGAAAATATCATGAATTATGATGAAGAATGAATTATTATCAAAATTATAAGAAATATTCATTTATTCTTATATTATTGAAGAGAATTTAAAAAGAAAAACAAGGATAATCGAATTAAAAAACTTTAAATGAGACTTAGAAGATGTCGCTGAAATTTAAGAATAAAGCACTTAAGCATAAATTAACAAATATCACAAAAATCGATAATATTGATCATTCACATCAATTGAGCAAATATAACATAATTCTCATTTGAAATAGCAAAAATTATTATTATTCTATTGAATTAATCAATAAATTATAGTTATTTACATAAATCAAAAATATGAGTAATCTAAAGAATGAAAATTGTAAATTTTTGTTATAATACTCTATGAGCATGATTTTCAATTTTATATCTCCTAATTTATCTTTCAAAAATTAGTATTTCAGTATAAAAAACCAAAATTTATATTTAGTTAGATTTATAGTTATATTAAGATGATTTTGATTGAATCTGTAAATATATAACCAGTTAAAAGGATTTCAACCATATTTTGACATCACTTTGTTTGAAACAAAAATTATATCAAATCTATTACAAAATTGATTATACACAAAAAATCATTCTTTTTACAATTGTAGAGATAATATTCAAAACTTTTTATCACAGATGTTATTCGAAATTAATATTAATATAATGTAGATTAGATAGTATTGGTAAAATGAATATCCCATTGATGTTAAGTTAGATTAAATATCTTTTTACACTTTTACTTGAAAATACAAAAAAAACTTGAATGATTATTTTATTTTTTGATGAATATTATATTATAAAGAATAAAGATTTAGAGATCAAAGTGTGAATTTATTGATTAAATGATGCAAATAATAATGGGGATACTAAAAGAGACAACTTGGAAGTTACAATAAAAATCATTAGTTTGGGTTAATTTAATATTTTTTCTTTACTAGAATGAAATAATTTTTCTTTTGTAAAAATAACTGTGTAAGTTTCAAAATAGGCACAGAAATGTTAATATTTTTAATTCAAAAGGAGTACTCCTTACCAGCTATAATTATCAACTAAAACAATGAGTATAAGCTTTTGCAAGCGTATAATCGAATAAAGTGATAAACTTAAAAAAATTTATGCTGAGAAAATCATTTCAAAAATTCAGAGATGTATCTATTTTATTGCACATAGTATATTATAGTTGTCATCAATTAAAGTTATAAATTCTTTTCAATTAAAAGTGAAGAAATTCTCAAAAAAGTGATTTAGGAAGATAGATTAGTTCAATGTATAACTATTGTTAGAATTACAAGTTGCAAAATTGCTGTGTATTATTGACTTAATTTAATTTGTAGGTAAGTTCATAATTTCTTTGTGACTCATCAATTAAAAAGTCTAGATATTAATTTGGATATAATTTTAAGACTAATACTTATCAAGGTAGAAAATGCGAGCTTTTAATATTATGTTTATGATGTTACTGATTTTATAATGAAATTACACTTACTGATTATCAGACTCTTTCAGGTGATTGTAAAACCATTGGTTTTATATAACATGTTATTCGTATTCAAGCTATTGGTAAGATAGTACACTTGATCGATTTGAGCATTATCAAAATATAATTGATCTAAAAAATTAATAATAATCTTAATATAAATGCGTAAATCATTTGAATTGCAACCTTAACACAAGTGCAGCATTAGTAAATAGCACATACTGCAGATTAAATTATATTAAAGACTAAGGATTAGCCTTTATGAATTTTAATCAAATCACAAACTCCACAAAATGTATCTTAAATTTTAATAAAATTTAATCATAATTTAATCATAATTTAGCATAAACTGCTTATGGGGAAAAATGTAAATGGAACTATAGTTATTCCTATTTCACTAGCAAATATTGTTCATAATGTAATCCGATTGTGAAAAAAGTTATGTTTTTGTTTATTCAACAGTCATAAAATGTTATTGGTGTCTACTTTACAAAAATAAATATTCTAATCACAATTACTGAGATCCGATCATTATTGAATTTATATATGAACTAAAATTTGATTCAATTAAACAATAGTATGACTTCACCTAAATCGCATTAAGATTGCAATAGTGTAAATGTCTTATAAACAATTTCATATTTAATATGTGTAATATGGTGCGTCACAACTCATTTTTCTGTTTCTCAATACGTCAGTCTGTTTACCAAAGTAATGTTCTTAAAAAGATCTTTATTTAAAAAAAAAAGCATTTAATATCAGGGGAAATTACAACGATGTAACTTCGTCATTTAATGGAGCACTACTTCTATAATCAGAAAGTATAACTATTTTTGGACCCCCGGTATTGACAAAAATCCGTTAAGAAATTAACTCTACTACTATCCTTCAGATCCAAAACTACATTAAGTGCATGCTGTTGCCAGAATTGGTGAATCAATAATAATGGAGTTTTAATAAGCCTATGAAATCAATAATGTAAGGTTCGGATGTTGGATGTTGATGGTAGAATAACAGACTTGCAAGTATTAGCAATAGTTGCTGATAGGAAGACTGAAAAAGTCATTTATGATGGTCTTGCTCCCCATAATTTATTACCAACTTAAAAATCTTTAAAAATTTGTATTTTAATAATTAAAAAACAAATTATTTTGAAGATTTGATGAAATTCAAATATATTTTGTTAAAAATGATTTTAAATATTGTAAGATTTTCTGATTAATCAGTATCTGGATTGAAATTTTATAATAGAGGAGGGGATAGTATACACTATTTATATATGTTGATCATCAAAATATAAGCCTTCTATGCTTTTTGATTAACTATGTTCATTTAAACGACAAGAATTTTCTAACATATTATAATAAAAGTATATTTAGTTATTGAATTTCAATACTGAGTAAGTTTGAAATCATTTCTGATGTCTAAAATTTATGTGAATAATTTATTTATGATTTATTATCTAATAAGTTTTATTCAAAAGCTCCAGCATAATATTTTAAGAGTAAATAAGGATAAAGAGAAAAAAAAACAACATAAGATTCTTAAAAATATAAAGATTTTTTTTAGGGCGAATTTTATATTTTTAAAAAAAACAGATTGAATTTTTTAGTAACATTTTTGAGTCTATTTTTTATTTCAGTTAGATATCGTTTATGTGACTGATTATCAATTTAGCTAAAAAAATACATAAATCATTATCAAGTAACTTTAAATACTTTAATTCTTAGAAATATTTTAAAATAAATTTACAGTTGATTAGTCACAAATTTGTCTGTTGATTATTCTAATTTAATTGATTTATTTATGCTATATTTAACCCCATTTTATATCAATTTCAGAATCCTGAAAGATTTGCTCATGTTGATATTTTATTCTGACATTTTTGATTTAGATTATTAATGAATATCCCTTTGTTGGATGACTATAAATAGAATTAAGCCTTACTCGAAATGAATTCAAAAATTTAGAACTCAACAGCAAACAATAATTGAGATTAATAACCTATATATCAATTCTTTAACATTATTTATATACTCTCAAGTAATCCTTAATTTTTTTAAATAAATTTATTCAAAAGACCTCATAAAATTCAAAGTCTTATATGCTAGCTGTTATGTATAGTAGTAGTGTGTATAATGTAGAAATTCATTATGTTTCAAAAAATAAAAAGCAATTTTGTAAATGATAATTGTTTAGTGAAGATGGTTATGAACTATGCAGAAATAGGTAATCGATTCTCAAATATTTTGAGTTGAATAAGTGCAGAAAATTAATATATAATTTATAAGATGAAGAAAAAAGATAGTGTTATAAAATTATAAGGAGTAGTAAGTTTATTAGATAGTGCTAGGAATGAGAAAGACTTCAATAATGGTGCTATAAAATACAAGAATTAATAATGAATAACTTAAGAGAGGGAATAAATGAGAAAAAACTGTTAGAAATGAGCATAAGTAACATTAATCAAATATGCTATACTACAATCTAAATTTTCAGTATTTGATTTAAAAAAATTAACTCTTTTCTATATATTTTACTTTTTATAAGAGAAAACAAAGAAAACAATAAAGGGTTCAGAAGAAATGTATTAAGGTAGTCAAGATGGGTTCAAGGCAGAATATTTTTGGAAAAAAGTTAATAATAAATACAATCTATTAATGGTATTTAAATCCAAAAGTGGCTCTATCTTTGGAGCATACTCTCCTTGTAAATGAGTGAATACAAATGGATCGAATATAGCAGATAATTCATTATCATCTTTTATATAACTCATGATTAAATATATAATTTGAAAGAGAATTACAAGGGTTATGCTATTCATTCTCATAGTAGTTATGGACATCATATGGTTGTTATAATGATAATAATATTCATGGTAATTTTACTGATGGTTATTCTAGATTAGGTTGTGAATATTAATTTTATACAAGTAATAATAATAATTATAAAACTCATCTTTATGGATAAGTAAAGCCAGAATTTTAGGAATGTGAAATATATCAAATATAATTTAATTGAATATATTATATTTTAAGTTAGATGTTTTTATTTCTCCTTTCTTTAATCTCTATATTATTATGTAAAAAATTAAGAATTGTTCAACTATAATTTCTTAAATGCATAATTAAAATGATTCATCTAGTAACTCGCATCTCTCAGAATTATAAATAGATATATAAAAATAGAAATTTATTTAACCTAATGCCTAATCTTTGTAGGATGATGATAAATTGTTTTATTGTTAAATTAGGACGAATATATTTTCAATTCTAATAACGTGATATTTATCCAAAAAATGGAAATATAAATAATAAAATATATATGATTGGCTCTTTAGTATTAAAGCAGGGTAATTAAATCAAATTTAACTGATACATTAAAATAGAATAATTTAAATTTGATAGTATATAGAGAGAATACAAACTGATTTATGAGTTTAGAAGACAGTAATTGAAATCAATTCAAATTAATTTAAAACTTGTAGCTGTTAAATTTTAGATGTCTAATTTTCTTTAAAAAGATCAAATTGACAGAAAAATATAGTTTGCTTTAGGATGATCAAAATTCATAAAATGGATGAATTCCTATTGGCTCAGATTTTGAATAGAATCAAAATACTATTGAATAAGGCTAATTCAAGTAGATAAAAAGATTACTTGAATAAAGTTTGATATGAGAATTAATCAATTCCTTTTATTTTGTAGGACAATTCTTAAGAATTGTAGTTATTAAATCAGAATAGTCCTGACCAAGATTTAAAATATAAATAGACTGGAATCATGATTGATTAAAATGAAAAAAGTCTCTTGATATTAAACTAATTATGTCTAATATATCATCTTTCTAAACCTAAACCAAGGATCAATCTTAATTGGATGAATATTTTGAAAGACTTTGGAAAAGTCGAAAGATCACTTTCTAGTATATAATCCAAACAGAATAAGTATTTTATCAGTCATAAATATAAAACAAAAACTTTCAATAAAATTTGAAAAAAGTAATCAAGCAGTTAATAAGACCTAGAGTATATATAATTTTATGAAAAAAGAGTTGAAGAACCAAAATATACATATTATGAGCTCATGTACCATTCTTTATAGTAAACTAGGTTATGAATATTATATAAGCTAGACTATATTTTAGAATATCAAATAGTAGTTAAATTGTAGAATAGTAGTGCATCTAAATAACATATGAAGTTAGCTATATTTCATCATTTACTTTAAAATGGAAAAAGAATGGATAATTTGTAAAATTATTGATCTATTTACTTACAACTCTTTTGTGGTTCTTCTGTAATTATTTATTATAATGAAGTATTATCTATCTATTTTTTAAAAAGAGATGTTATATTCTTAACCTATTAAAATAATCAATCTCTACTATATTTAGATAAGGTTGTCCTTATACTTTTTTTATCTTATAATTGCAAATCCTTTATTGCTATTATAGTTTTTCATGATTAATTCTTCTAAAAATGCCACTGTTTGATGCATTAAAATAGGATTTGATTAAAACTTATTAAAGTTTTCCTCAATTATTGAAACAAACTGTAATTTATCAAATTAATATTTTTTAATTAAGATAAATATCCTTTTTCCAAATTATAATTAAAAAAAATAATAAACCTTATGTTAATCACATTTCTTAAAAGTTTATTAATTATTCAGAGGAATTAAATAAAAAGTGATAAATTTGATTTTGAAAATCAAAATTTAATCTATTAAGATCTTTTTCAAGCCTAATATATCTTTCAATATTTATTATTCAATCTTTTCCTAATCATTATTTAGCTATCATTCATATTATTGATTAAAGAAGTAATAGGAGAGTCTATCTTAAGATAAAATAAACATAAGATTAATTAAGGACATTTTTATAAGTTGAGGTTTTTTCATTATGTAATTTAGTTGGTTTCATGTCAAATATTATTTAAGAATCAGAATTTTATTGATATTTATAGCCTGGGTATTAAGTTTATAAAAATAGATAATAATTGTATATCTAATCATTTTTAAGCAAATTGCTAAAAAGCAAACTTATTGAAACTGATTAATTTTGTAACATTAAAATTAGAACAAATTAATTTTTAGGTATAAGAGGGATTTTATTATCTTTATTAATAATATCAGTTCAAATACAAAGGGGATCTGTTTTTAGTATGAATTTTTTTTTTGCTTGATCTTTACCAGATTTATGATGTAAGCTGTGATTTCTCCAAATTGAAATTATTGTTACATTTTACATCAGGATATTGATAATTTTGCTTCAAAAAAATTAGGTATAAAGCATATAGATGCTGTCCATTAAAGGAATACTTCATCCTATGAAGATGCTTTATATTTTAAATCGAATTACTTAATGCATGGTTTCACTTTGTTGTTAATTTACAAAGATTCAAAAAGTATTAATTTTTTTTTTTTAAAATAAAATTAAAAAATTAAATCGTGGTGAAACCCATGAAAAA